ATACTTTATAACTATAAAGAAGCTCTTAGTAAAATAAGCTTATTAGATAAAGTATTTTTCTTATTACTATTTTAAACTTATATATTAGGTAAGTAAATTAAATAAATAAGCAGATATCCTAAATAGGAAATATAAGAATATAACTATTTAGGATAAGATAATAGTAGTTTACTAGACCCAAATTCTCCTCTTATAATAAAAGATTAATAATAATATTATATGGGATTTCTAGTTAGTCCTAATTAAGGCCTTAGTAAGTCCGGCTTAAGAAGAAATCTAGTATAATAATATTTAGCTAATAAATAAGCTATTAAGTAAGAACCGAGAATTACTAGAATTAGAAAAGTTATAGGATAAAGCAAGAAATAAAAAGAAAGATACTTAGATACTATAAAACGGCCTCCTTTTATAATATAATAAACTATTTATACTTAATAGTATAATAATATCCGAAATATTCTTATATATTATTCTTATTTAGAAAACATATATATAGCCCCTAATAGAATACCCAGGATAAGCCAAGCTTTAATAGCTTCTTTAGGCCTACTATTACTAGCTAGGCCAAGATATAGATATTAATTAGTATAGGAATAATTACTATACCTGCTAATAATTTTATATTTCTAGAAATAAGAAGCCAGGGCTCTTATATTTATTACTAGTTCCTAATTACCCCTAGTAATATATATTAATAGATTTTAAGAAATGTCTAGAGAATAGAAATAAGTATAATATAGTAGTAATTTTTATTAATTATCTAGGCAAGTATTCTATTATAATTTCTATCCGAGATATAGTAATAGCTAAAGAATTAGTATTTCTATTTCTTACTTATATAATTTACTAAATTAGTATTCCAGAGACTATAATATCTAATTAAGGCCCCTAGTTTATATCGGATTTTTGGAGCAAGTTCTATAAATATATTAGTATAAAGCTTAAGTTATTAATTATTAACTATTCCTAAACTAATAGCTAAATAGAGATTATTAACTAGTATTTTAACTAATAGCTATATTTCTATATAAATTATTACTAGAATAATTAGAATAAATAAGTAATAATAATTAATTACTAGTAAATAGCTCTAGTCTATAAGACTATAGGCCAATTTCTATTTCTTATAGAAAAGAGCTATAAACCGCAAATATTATTTAATTAGGAAACTCAAATATAATTAGGTATCCCGAAGAAAGAATTAAATAGATAGGAAGTAAAGGCCCTAGTAATATAGCTCTATAAATTATAATAAAAGATATAGGAAAATATAATATAAGTATAAGAATATTATATTACTTAAGCTAATAAGTACTACTAACTAATAGATTTCGGAATAGGAAATAAGATATAAATTATTATTAAATACTAGAAGAATAATTATTCGAGCTATAAGCTAGCTTACTAAATAAAAGAATTATATGAAATCCTGAAATAAGTAGAATATTTCTTTAGGCTTAAGCTTCCGGAATTAATAAGAATATATCTGGTATTCTCTATAGAGAAGCCATATAAAGACCCAGGTAATTCCTTTCCCGAATAAGCAAATCCGGAGTCTTTATTATTAGAACTATAAGATAGAGAAATGAAATATAAAGTTCAAGAGATATAAGTAGTAAAACTGCTTTATAGGAAGCTAAAGTACTAAGTTTAATAGAAAGAATAGAACCCAGATTTGAAATAATATCCTGCTTCCTTATTAAGTAATAGTATCCTAGCTCTTTAGAGCTTCTATAATAAGAACCCCGAATAGCTAGGACTGTCCCAGAATCTCTTTTATTAGTTAGACTATACCAAGAATTATATATTACCGGAATTATATAATATAGACGGAAATTCTTTAAAGTTATATATAAAAGGCCCTGGCTTTTAATATATAACCTATAACTTAAAAATTTAATAGAGACTTTTAAAGCTCGGAAATAAGCTTATTTTAAAAGAGAGAGTAATATTACGGTTATTATAATATATAGTACTAGTAAGAGTTAAACTAGAGCTAGAGAAATATCTAGTATTTAAGTAAGGTATCTATAATTACCTAATTATTATATATAACTCCGAGCTTAAACTAGTATATAGGCCCGTATATAGCTTGTAATTATTTAGATTCGAGGCTTCTTTAAGATTCTCTTTTCTCTTTAGCTTTGAATTATTAAAATAGAGATAGTCTAACTATATTTTCTAGATTCTAGATCTTATACTTATAATAATTTCTATTAATAAAATTTACTAATAATTTAATTAGTTTTTTTATATTTTATAATTTTACTCTAGCTTAGAAAATTAAGGCTTTATTTACTAATATATTTTATTATTTATAAGAAGAACTTATATATAATATTATAATTCCGTAATTTCGAAATAATTATATTATAAATATAATAAATTTAAATTTAAAAATATATATATATTATATCTAAACTAAACTAAATTTAATTAATTAATAAATATAATAAGCTATTATTTTTTGAAATCAAAATATTATAAGGCTCCTAATATAGCAGGGTATTATATAAGTAATTAAGGTAAGAGAATAGAATATAGAATAAAGTATAGAATAAAGTATAGAAGTATATTAATTCCAAGAACTAGTTCTTAGTAATAAACTAATTAATATTCATTTCTAAAGCTCGTATATCTCTATATATAGAATCTAGTATTCTGCTAGATATATAGAAGTACTAGTTCCAATTAGAGAATATAATCCCATATAAGTACTAGCCTAATTAGGCTACTAAATCTAGCTAAATACTCGCTATTAATATATATATTATAAATATATATTAAAATCTTTAATTAAATTATTTATTTAATTATATAATAATATCTTTAAATTTATATCTAAATAAACTATTACTTTTATTTTTTTAGAGCTAATTAAGGCTTTAAACTTCTTTTTATTATTAAAGTATATTTTATATTTTTATAAATAGCTAATTTATTAATTATTATTATAATTTAGTTTTTAATTTAATTAACTAATATAATTATTTAACTAGTATTACTTATATTTTATTATATTTTATTACTTTTTAGTTATATAATAATATATATAATATAGCTATTATACTAAAGAAATATACTTGAAATATATTAGAGATATTTAAAAAACTAAGCCTCTTATAAGCTAATATATTATAAGATATATATATTCTTTTATAGCCTTTTATATTCTAGTTTTCCTTTTTTTAGCTTTGAATTATCTTTATAAAAACCCTTTTATTTTATTTTTTAAGTCCTAAATATTATATTTATAATAGTATTTAAAGCTTACTTTTTTTAATTTTATAAAGAATTTTAAATAAACTAATTTAAAATTATTAGAAATAAAAGTATTATTAAGATAACGGATTCTCAGAAATATAAGTAATAAGTTCTAAAATAATAAAAGCAAAAAGCTTTAGAACTTTTAAAGAAATCAAGTATTTATATTTTTATAAATATATTTAGTAATATATTAGAAATTTCTTTTAAAACCCCGAAAATTAAAAAACCTTATATAAAGGCTATTCTTTAATTAAATTCTAAAGTAATAAGTACTTATAAGCTAATAACTTAATTATTACTCTTAAGTTCTATTCTATAATTTTATAGGTTTTATATATATATACTAGTAATAAAATTACTAAAAAGAATATAATAAAAGAAAAATATAATAAATTAATTTTCTAGAATATTATATAACTCGAAATTATACTAACTTTTACTAAGGCTTTTAATAAGGCTTTTAAAGCTTTTATTAATTCAGGTTATTTTATTAGTAGCCTTTTTTAAATCAAATATTATATTAATATTTCTAAAGAATTTATAAATAAATTCATAAAAATAAAGCCCTTTACTTTTATTATAAAGCTTTTATATATTTAGAAACTAATTATTATTAAAGAATTATATAAATAAACTAAAAAGCCCGATTTCTTACTTAAAAATATTAATATAATTATAACTAGCTATTAAAAGAATATTTAGAAGGCTATTATATATAAGAATATTTATAAAAATAATAAGAGCCTTTTTAATTAGTATATTAAATAATTAGGTTTAATTTAATTAGACCTCTTTACTTAAATTAAATTAAGTTAAAATTAAGCTAATTAAATTATATTTAATTATAATTAAAAATAATTAAAAATAATTAATTAAATTTATTATATGATTATATATATAATTCTAGAGCTTTAGAAGCCGAAATAAGGCTAAAATAAGATCTAGGCTAATTATATTTAGTATTACTAAAGGCATTCTTTACTAAATCAGGCCAAGTACTAATTAGTAAGTAAAACTAAAGGTACTAGAACCTCTTTGATTTCCAGTATTATAGTAGTAATAAAGAGCTTGAATTAAGCTAAAGGCTATCTGCTAGGCTAAGAAAGCACTAGCTATATACTAAGTCATATATAATAGTACTATGTAATTAGTATTATATAATAAAAACTAGTTTATTATTTTAGATTTAGATTAATTTTATACTCTTATATATGCTTTATAGATTTTATTAATATAGCTATTAGCTATTAGTTATTTAAGAATCTTTAGAAATACCTAAGAAAGTATACTTTTATATTATTATTATATAATTATAATTAATTATAATAAAAATCAAGCTAATTAAATTATACTTAATTTTAATTAATTATAATAAAAATCAAGCTAATTAAATTATACTTAATTTTAATTAATTCTAATTAATTAGCCTTAATTATTTTTAATAATATTAAACTTTATAATACTAAATTCAAAAAAATATTAAGTATTATATAATTATAATAAATTAATTTATAATAATTTCAGCTACTTTTGCTTTATTTGCTTTTACTATTTCCGTTATCTTTACTTTTTCAAATTCCTCTTTAAAATCTCCCGAATTATCTTATTCTTATTTCTATTCAAAATTCCTTACTTCTTAAGTCGACGTTGAAGTTCAAGCTAGCTAAGCGAGGGAAAAGGGGTAGCGAGTTCTAGCGTCTTGGCTTTGACAACACACAACCGTCTCCCCATACCGGATCGATCCATCATCATCATCATTAATATCGCATAATGGTCATAAATACGTAAACGCGAAGCCAGCCAGCCCTCATATAGAGCTCTGTCGACTCATCATCGCCGTCATCGCTTGCCTCCTCCTCCGCCTCATCTCGCTTACAGTCAGAGTTCGCTCAAGCGGTGCATCGTAGCCGTCGTCGTAGGTTGGAACTACCTCTGGTTGGTCTAAGACGGGTGGTAGTGGCATGGAAACCTCGGGATCGGAGAAGCTGCGTTGTTGTTGTGTGGGGTCTGGGGTTGGTGACGTTATATCTATAACCGGAGGGTTTTGGCGGGGATCCGAGGGCCCTGGTTTAGTCTCTGCATGTCCGAATGTCAGGTATGGCCCCCCTGCTTCCCAGCCTGACCATCTTCCGGAGAATGGCTGTTGGTACTGCTCGTGGCTCTCTTGTACTTGGTTCTCGTGCAAGATTGATTGCTGGATCTGCTGTTGTGATTCCATTTTTTGAAGTGCGCGTAATTTATCTTCGTGGTAATCGTCTAGGCCGTCTCCGTAGTCCTCACCATCGTAATTTGCTCGGTTCGCCTCCCTCCATTTCTTGGTCGGGGTTCGTTTCATTTTGTCTGCTATGGGCGAAGCAGCACTGGTAAATGGTTAGCATAGTCGGCTTAGAATGGAGCTCTTAGAGTCTCACGATGTGGTGGGCGTGGAGTTGCCGCGAGCGTTAGTGCGAGAGGGGCCCGCTGGGGCATTTTCGGGTGATGAAGCTTGATCGAAAGGTTGCATGGCTTCCGAAAAAGTAGGTGAACACATTTCTTCTGCTCTCGAGGGAGTTGGATCTTCAATCTGATGAGTAGCCCGGTCGTGCCTTATCTTTGGAGGGACTGCAGGTGCAGGATTGGGGTTGGGCAAGACTGTGTCTGTCGGAATCTCAGACGTATGAGTCCAATCGAGACTCTGGGATAGAGGTCTGCGGAACGGTTCTCCATATGTATTATTTGATTCTGGTGCCCGAACAGGAGGGTATGTAGAGACGGCGCTGAGTGGCCTTACGGGAAATGACGACCCATCCATCTCGACAATTTCATAGGGAGAAGCGGTGGGATGTGGATCTGCCGATCCGACCCAAGGATCGAATTGGTTGACTGGGCCTGCAGAGTGATATGTGCTTGGTTGATTCGGCGATGGTACGCCCGAGGTGTTTCTGGGTGTGGTCCCCAAAGAGAGACGTTGGTTCTGGGCCAAAGACTCTGTGGATCTCCTTGAGGCAAGATAGCATGGTTGAGCTCTAGGTAGCTCCGGTAATGACGAGGCGAAGTTTGGCTCAGCCGAGTGTCCGTATACGGTGGAACGCCTTGCAGAAGTAGGCCTTCCGGATGGCATGTTTTCGAAGGGATTTGTGCCATTAGAGTCTCCCCTTTCCCTGTCAGAAGCCGGTCCCCAGAAGGATGTATTTGCGGCAGGAGAGGGCGGTATATCGTTGAACGTGGTGCTGTATTGTGCAAGGGCATTCATGGATGATGACGGGCGCAAGTTGTGTTGTGTAGTCGTTGGCTCGTTCGAAGAATCTGAGAAGGTCTGTCAGTCAAAAAATCCGCACGATTGAGAAGAAAGTGCACCTTCATCTTTAGCTTCGTCTCCTCTGTGATAGCGCTCTTGTTGCTGTGCCCTCCTTAGTCTTCGCCACGGGCTCAAATAGGTAGCTTCGGCATATGTTGGAAGCTCATCTGTCGCTGGAGCTGGACTTTGAGGAATGGAGTCCTCGAGCGGAGTCAAGAATCCCAGCACGGTTTGAAGGCTTAGATGAACACTATTCAAGTGGCTGGATCGAGTCACCAACTTGTCGTGGTCTTTGAAAATCCACTTAACTTTTGTTTTGAAAGTTGCGCTTCCATATGCCTCTTGCTCTCCCCTCACCGGCTCAACGCACTTTCCAATCTCGATCAGCGAGGCTTTGGCCGCCGCAATCGACTTTTGTATCCAGCGCCATTTCTCTGGTGTGTTTTTGACTTTCTTCGTAATGTCAGGGACACTGAGAAGTCGTTCCGTCTCTTCTAAGTCGTGTTGGACTTGTTGGATCAAGTTTACGAAAATCCCATTCTCGGACTCAACTCCGTACAGCTTCACAGCGTACTCTGCAAATCTGAAACAACTGTTCAGAAAGGCAAAGATGGCGGCTGTGCTAAGTGGCTCCCCCATCTTCCATGCAGTTACTTATTTGCAATTAGATGAGGTGCCGAAAGAGAGTAACCTGCATGGTGGGAAAATGTGACGGCTTGAAAATACAGTACTTGAAGTGATGGCCCAAAAACAATTGCTCCAGTAGATAATTAGGCATCTATTCGATCATGCCCCGCATCTCGTGCTGCCAGCGAGCTGCAAGCCTAGAGGCAGTCGGCCTACCAAGGCATTTCCGAGGACGAGGTGGTCTGACCAGAATCCAGATGAGGCCTCCCCTTGCGCAACCCTCTTGAATATTGAACAAGGCTTGGGAGCGAAAGAGGCTTTTTAGGTCACTGTGGTAGGGATATAAGAATTACGTAATTTGGACGGTCGTTATATAATAATGTAATATAGTGGAGAAAAATGCGTTATTACATTATTATTATACGCTAATCCATTATGGAAAGGCTTGCTCGTAAGGGAGAAAGGGTACTGAGTGCCCCTGCCCTAAACGGACGGAGACGCCTAAATTTGCTTAATTTATGCCTAACTTATGCCTAAATTATACTTGATTTCATAAAATATAATAATGGCGAGACCGTTATTATATTACAATTTTATACATCCCTACACTCTGGTAGGCTATTCTTGAGACAGGTGATAGCTGGCATGCATGCTTCCAAGCCATCAGAGATAACGCAAGAACAATATTGAGCCATCCTGTCAAGATTTGGAAATGGCTGAGGGTGCAAAAGCCTTCTATTCGTCTGCCCATTGCTGTGAAGTGTAAACATGAGCACCGTGACCGAGATCGTGATTTCGATTTGCTGAAGTGAGGGGTCGAAGATTGAGGGGCTGAGGGGTGGCTTAGTGCCGAATCATTGTGCTTTTGCTTTTTCTTCTTGCGAGCCTTGAAAAGGCTGAGATTCTGACCACTGGCTTTGCGACTTGCGAGCATGTTGCATCCAGACCACAAGTGAAGTCGCACAAAATGGTATGTTCCGATGGATGTAGACACTTCAGACGAGAGCTCACCTCAAAGTGTAGAAGAGGCTGAGATTGGCGCACCATGTGATGAAGGCAGCAGATCAGTTCATTGGAGCGGGGAGCGGGCTCAGAGTAGGGATGGAAAAAAATTACATAATTAGATTATATTTAATGGGCTTGCCATTATTATATGCATAATTTTATATGTAATTTATGATTTTTTTAATGCAAATGACAGGTCACATGGCATGGTTTCAGGACTAAAGTTATACTTTTTATTCTTCTTCCACAAGTAGGAGAAGTGGGTCTCACGTGCATTAATTTCTAGCCATATAATTGGTCCAATATTGGACCCACATAATATAACGCATAATGGGCTCAAGAGCATTATTTATACGTATATAATAATAGGGTAGGAATTATATATAATTATCCACCCCTAGCTCAGAGAAAATGGGGAAGGCCATAATGCGAGCTCGTGCGGGTCGCCGAGTGAGACACGGCAGAGATGCACAGGATGCTCGAAGCCACAAAGCCCCTCAGAAGAACCCTTTACTCTTTACCAAGGTCTGGCAGGAATACCAAAGAAATTTAATGCCCGATTAAGACAATAATACCAACTCTGGGTACATAATGGCCGGCCTGGCCTCCAGCCCGCTATGCACAAAATCCCTGGGATCAGCCCGTTACCAAAAGTCCTCAAGGGAATCGAACGGTTCTGAGACAAATCTTAGTATCTGCCCACACTAACCACTTCCTCCTCTCTCAGCACTTTTGGTGGCGACAACTCCTGCCCCTCATGGTTGACCGTAATCAGTAAAGCCGGGAACACTACCATGGTGTCAGGCTGTCCGACCCTGGTATTATCGAAACGATACGAGCAAGGCTGGGAGAACATAGAGAAGGCGTATTGGGCAGCGAGCTTCATGACTTCTCTCAGGTTGTGGCGACGTGTTTCTGTGTCCATCTCAATGCCTCTATTGAGGAATGGACGGAGGATGGCTTCGGAAGCATCAAGTGCTTTTTCAATCCTGGCCAAGCGTTTATCGTTTCCCGTTGGTGGCTCGCTGTATTTTCGTGCAAGCAGGGTACCGGAAATAGTTTTCCATTTACTCAACAAAGTGACTTGATCTGGAAACACCTTATAAGGATCATGTCATTTGCAGTTGGGCATTGAGACTTACTAGCAGTGGAGGGCTGGCCTGTAAAATTCAAGCCCTTGAAAGCCAATACTTCATCTGGAAGAAATGATTGCGCCTCATCCGATTGCTCAGTGCATCTCGAAAGTATATAACACGCGAGGAAAAGCCGCAGAGTAGGTATCCCCGTTCGTGAATTGTGAAGCAAGCCCACAATGTCCCGGCTTGGAATTGCCGTTGCTCTGGACAGTTCATTCAGCCTCTCCTCATCCACCATCTGACGCTGGTCCTGGGTAATGTGGTAGTAGTTTTGGATATGGTCCTTGATAGCTACAAAGATCGTAGTCAAATCACGAGTCATCGCATCGTCCTCGGTAGGCTGGGGCACAAAATGTTTGATGTTCGTCACAGTTGTGCTTACATCGAACTTCTCATTTCCAGCAGAGCCTCGTTCGTCTAAGGCAAAGTCTTGTTGCTGGTAGCTTTCTGATGAACTCTTTCGACTAGGCAGGATGAAGAAGAAGAAGATGAGTGCTGCAATCATAGCACCCACAACAGCGGATCCAATGCCGATTCCTGCAGCGACCGGAGACGTTATGTGAGCACCATTTGTTTGGTTCGAGGACCCACAAAAAGTGCAGTTAAATCCTGAACTTCCAGAGCTCGAAGGAGGAGCGGTCGCAGTCACTGGAGTCGCGGCAGTGGCTGCGACAGTGACGGGTAATGGGGAGCATGATGGAGTCAGTGAAGTCTCGAAGGTAACGAAGATGGAAATTGGGCCGAGGGCGGAATATTCTGAATTGTACCAAGTTTGCGTTGTGTTTGTTGAGCTTACGGTTGTGAAATTATAAGCCATTGCGTCAGTGAAGGCTGTCTGTCGTTCTCAAACGATGGTCTGCAGTCTCTTGATGAATGTAGAGGAATTGAAGAATCACATTCCGTGGGACAGTAAAGACGGCGAGGATTCAATAAGAGCCCGTGGGGCCGTGAAAATGTGGCTGGGTGGTTACAGCCAGATTTTAGGCGCAATCTCTGCACATGTAATAGTAAAATCTGGCTTAGCCTTATTTGAGATGTATGGATGCATCGGGCTTGCACAAACACGAGTCTAACTTAGTTTGAAAGGGGGGGCTTCGGCCTCCAATCATTGAGCCATGTGGCTGAACCGGGGCAGGTCTGGGCCGCTTATCACACGGAACAGGACGAAAGAAGGCTGTACTGCAATCTTTGGTCCATAGAGCAAAATTCTGATTCGCTGCCGGTCTCGCAAGAGCAGAAAAGAAGAAAGAAAAGCGTTCAAGAATGGGTTTGTAGTGAAGTAATTTAAGCATTGTTAACTCGACTGACGACACTTTCTCGTCTCACAATTCGAAGCTGTACAGGTATTCCTCACATCGAACAACCCTCGGGTCATCTCTGAGAATTAAACTATCTTCTCGCCAATCAGCTATGTTCGACGATATCCCATCACCAGAGCTAGTCATCGGCATTGACTTCGGCATGACATGTACGATCAATCTCTGTATTCTGACGATATTGCTCTGACGCTCGTCTTTCCAGGTACCGGTGTCGCATTTTGTAATGTACCAGCTGGAGAGCAAGCACCTCGTTGCATTAACCATTGGCCTGGAAGCGGACGAGATGTGGTGAACAAGGTTCGACTTGAGGATGATTCATAATTCGGAAACGCTGCTTTGTGCTAATACCTTCCCTATGCAGGTCCCAACTATTCTCGTCTATCCCAAGAATTCCAGTACCCCTTCCTCGTGGGGTTTCTACTCGGAACATCCCAACGAACAAAATGCCGAAGGCAAGGACTGCATGGATTGGTTCAAAATATACCTGGACGATGACAAGCTCCGCGGGGTGGCAAGAGATCCAATGAATCATGGACTATTCCCAACATCTATGCAGGAAGTGGAAAAACTGTAAGTAAGATTCTGAAAATTTCGGGTATTATCTCTTTGTGACTGCTGCAGGTATTGCGATTTCCTGGGGTTTATATACCACACAATTGAAAACGAATTGAAGGGCGAACTGGGCAACACTTGGGAGGACGCATGCATTGAATTTATATTCAGCGTGCCGACAACCTGGAAACCGGTCCCGACTGTCGAGCGCTTTAGGAAGATCATAAGACGAGCAGGCTTCGGCAGCCATCCTAATCATCGGGCGGAAATCGGGATGACCGAGGCAGAGGCTGCTGCTGTGCACACCGCGCGAAGATTTCCAACGTTATTCAAGGCACGAAAGTTTCCTGGGTCCTCTACAGGCACCCAAATCTAATAAATGGCGCAGGAACGAGACGTCATACTGGTTTGTGATGTTGGAGGAGGAACGACGGTACAAAGCCGATCTCAGACACTACAAAATGCACCAATTTGCTGACGAAGTTAGGATTTGAACGTCCTTCGTGTCGTAAATACATTTGACGGTTCTCCGACTTTGGAGCAAGTGGACGTTGTCCAAGGCACGTCTCATTCTTCCTCATCCATATTATATCCGCCCTTAATAACCAGCCTATAGGTGAGCCGATTGGATCTGTACAGTTGGACCAAGCCTTCGAAGAGAGCGCAAAGAGAAGACTTCAATCCGCAAACAAAATGATGCCTTTGGAATGGCAGCCCCAACAGCTGTATCATATAGCTTGGAAAATGGCGAAAGAGAAAGAGTTTCAAAGCGCAAAATGCGGATACGGTTCCTGGGATAACCAAACAGAGTATTTCGCCGTGGCGGTCCCCGGGCTACGGTCAAGTTACGAAAACATGAATGCGGGGATCAGCAACGGAGAAATGAGGTTCAGAAGGTAGAGTGTCTCAATGGTTTCAACTTGTTAAACTTCATATGATTTAACTTTTCACAAGAGATGAAGTACGAAGCTATTTCGATGCTCAGGTAAATCAACACCGAATGCTTGAAGGCCACCTTTAACATCCACAGATTGACAAGCTGTACGAGCTTCTTGACAGGCAGCTTACTCGTCTGTTACACAACTTTCCGGATGAGCAAGCAGTAAGTTTAGCCCAGTGCTCTCACGAGTTTGAAATATTTACATGCAGTCGGCTTTTCTCGTTCTATCGGGCGGCCTAGGAAATTCGAAATATGTACTCAAGCGACTTCAAGAGCGATACGAAGGTAGACCTGCACGATTTCCAAATATTCAATCTCTCGAAGTAAGAGTAGCTCCGGAGCCACAATTAGCTGTATGCAAGGGAATTGTTGCAGACAGAGTCCACAAGTTAAGGACAGGAAGATCAGTCCTGGGATGGCGATGCAGTCGTGCTTCGTACGGGACAACGTCCAAAGTTCTATACAATCCTCAACGCCCGGATCACTTTGGAAAAACTCCAGTGAAAGACGAACGCGATGGAAAACTTTATATCGAGGATTGCATCACTTGGTTCATCAAGAAGGTAAGCTACCACATAACGTGTTCGTACTAGGGCAAAACGTATTATGGCGACTGATCCGTATATAGGGAGAGCCCGTCTCGGCTGATCTCCCAATTATCAAGAGATTCACTCGCAAGTGTGACCCGGCAACTCCGTTTAATCCAGATCCTGCCCGAGTCTTCGACACCATAATCATTACAAGCAACCTGGACAAAGATTCGTTACCTCTAGTCATGAACTCATGTAATTCACTATATCTATTCTTTCTAATTCTTCAGCTAATTTATAATAACAGCTTGTTCAAAGATATGCGATATCTCATCTGACTTATCAAGCATTCCCCTCTCAATGTTCAAGCTGAAGAACAGACACTTCTGGAACACGAGACCAAAGTACCACCGCATCGAGTATGTCATTAAGGTGATCGTGGGCCCAGCAGACCTCCGTTTTGAGCTGTGGCATAATAGCAAGAGAATTAGCAGTGGTAATCCGATCAGGGTCGAGTGGTTTGCTGCAGATCCGCCTCCAATGCCAGCACCACGGGAAACCTATCCTGAGTGGCATGAACCTGACCCGGAAGCCAGACCAAATAGTCTAGAGCTTATGAATGGCCTGCCAACTCACTTTACTTTTAGAATCCCACGACGTCCAATCCCCTTCATGCGGGGAGCCCAGTGAGGAAAGTCAGCTATGGGAGAGAATCCACGAGTTGATGCTCGAGGTGACGGTACTTGTCATCGGCGAGATCACATGTATTAAGCGTCGGAAATCACCCTAATCTAATTCCAGTCTTTGTACATACTACGAGTCTCTTAAGAGTCTCTCTCTTCCTGGTTTTGTCCACTCAATCGATCATTTCAGACCCTCCTCGCTGCGCCTAAATGCCAGCAGCATAGACGTGAAGTGGATCGAAAGAACAGATATTCGTCAGCCGAAGGTGTTAATACTACCTTGAAGATCATTGGGACTGTCCTTCAAAATCATGTCATGTGAGCGTTAATGTTGCATGCAGGGTTTCAAAAATCTAGAGGCCGTTACCCCTGAGCCGACTACTCGGCTAAAACTAGGCGAGAGAATAGGGGCTCAGCGCCCTCTTTCTTGCAGTAAATCCTTCCAGATGCATTTCCGCTTCAGCCTTCCCAAAATCGACTCAACAAATCCACCGGAAGCCATTGGTCAATTTCTGCTAGTAGAGTCTGCAGGCTCCCCTTTCCCTTTCCCCATTTCGGATAGAGGTCGAGATAACGTGAGATGGAGGGAGCTGAGATGCAGTGTTACACGGCGGCCGCCCTTTGTCTAAGATATCATTCTCGCAGCTTGAACATTGAAACTAGTCGAGGTAATCAAAGAGGTAGCTAACCAACTTTCTGTCGAGGCAGCTTCCCTCACCCTCTCAGTCCGCACGTCGCCCTCCTAGGCCTCATCTTTGCCGATAATGCGTTCTTGGCCCCGAGTCTCACATCGGCAGAGAGGATCAGCGAGTTGGATACCCCGCCTGGCTATGAGCAGCTGCCCTTGCATCTAAAGCCGGAGATGGCTGATATCCCCGTCCTCCGCAAGTCTGTCAGGACGCCGTATAGCTTATATTACACTTTTAAACAATATTATTAAAGCTAATATAAATATAATTCGGGCAATAAATAAGAAGAATTAATCGTGCGTCAAGACTTGCACTAAAGCCCCTGCGTCCCTGCGGGTTTAGTGCGTATCAGCGATACGGTCAAAAATCAGCGATACGGTCATTTTTTTAGAATACTAATTTTCGGAATTTTGGTGAAAATCGAAGAAAAATATTTTACAGTTTATATAGAGTTTATACTATAATTAATAAATAAAATTCTCTAATTTTCATATTGCATATATATATAGTAAAAAATGGTGGAAATATTATATACTTTACCTTATTAGTAACCCCCCCAAAATACTACTATCCTAAGAAATTAATTAATTATATACTAATCACGTCCTTACTCATATATCTAATAATCGTTTCCTCCCCATTAGTATCCAATCTAACTATATTACTAAAGCCATTATTATAAAATAAAGGGGAATTAAGTAGTAGCCTAATAAAACCAAGCTTCCTAGCTAGCTATTCTACCCGTATATTACTAAACTTACTAACTCACTCCTCTTTATATCCAGGAGAAGCTAGCCTAAAATCTATCTTATTTATATAAAAGAGCTCTATTCTATAATTAATTTTCCTCTATTTCCTCTATTTTTCTATTAACTTTTAGTAATAAGCCTTAAGACTAGTTTTACTATAATTAATAAATAGTAGTTTCTCTCTATAGCCAAAGGGCTTCCCTAAATCATATAGAGCTTTTTCCCTACAAGTATGCCTTCTATATAGGAGCTTACTAGTAATATACTTCGTAATATATGTATTAGTTTCCCTGATTTAGTAATTTAGGTAAGTATTATTATCTATCTCGTCTGTAGTAAAAAGGAACTCTCTATAATAAGCGATTTAATATATGGCCGAGCCCTTAGAAATAACTTTATATTTTTATATATGCTTTTTACTATCTTTATCTAGCTTATTACATTACTCCTGAAATATTGCCTTTTCCCTTACAAGCTCTCTTTCTATAATTAGCCCCGCCCTAAATAGCTTAGGCTCAGTTAACTTCTGGTATACTCTCTAGGATCTCTAGAAACTAGGTATAAGAGTATACTTCTCGTTATTCTTTATAAGAATAAAATAGTTATTAAGATATTAATTTATATATATATTATATACTATATAATTTGCAGATATAGGAGGGTTCTGGAAGGGTTTCAATATTAGAGGGGTTTATAAGGATAGAATCTCGATTTGCTTGTCTGTTACAAAATTAGCTTATATTACTATATAAATCTGTAGCTAATTAATAAATCTTCTTTTGATTAGAATTGAGCTAGCTTCTCGTATATATGCCATACGGTTTTATGCCCTAAAAGGCTTGCTTTAGTAAAAGTACTAATAATTATCCTGTATTTGAATGTTCTTCCCCGTATTATTTGGTATATCTATTATAATAAGGTAATATTACAGTAGTAGTAAAGAGCTTGAATTGAACTGAAGGCTGTGTACCGTACTAAAAGCACTGGCTATATGCTAAGTCATATATAGTGGCACCACGTGACTGGTGCTACGTAACAAGTCCCCCCCTTCAGACTTCAAAAAACGATATCCTCGTTGCAATATAGCCATTCTAGGCTACCCAAATAAGAAGTCCACTAGTATAGAGCTTGCATCTCACTCCCAGGGCCCTGCAAGACAAGCAAGCAAGCCATGGTAACGTATATCCCAAAATATACCCCCTACTCGTATATTGCCTCCTCCTCTACCATACTTCTTGTTCGTACGGTATCCAGTCTTAATAACCTCCCAATTGCAACCACCATATATGCCTTGTACCCTAATATGGAGGGATACTAGCCAAGTAAAGACTTGGGGAGGTGAGGAATCGGACGACTCTGCCGGTAAGGGTGTGTGTAGCAGGAAGCTCTTTCTACAGGGGCGAGGGGAATATCGCTTTATTACTATAGTAATTCGTACCGTATTGTGAGGTCAATTAATCGTAATTATTACATTACTACCATATGTTACGATAAGGTAATATTGTAATAATGGTAAAGAGCTTGAATTGAGCTAAAGGCTATATACCGGGCTAAAAGCACTGGCTATATGCTAAGTCACGTGCAGTGGCACCACGTGACTGGCACCACGTAACAATATTGCTAGAAAATCGAGCTTGGTATAAACGATATTACTATACTAGATCTTATCATAAATACTAATTTAATACTAGTACTTTGTCACGATTCCACGCTCTATCTGAGCCTGGCATCTGGCATTTGGCATCTGGGGTCACATGACAGTTACACGTGACGAAGCTAGGGAAAGCTGTACTTCAGGAAATTTAGGATGCTAAGCCCCATTAGGCCGAGCCACAAGCAAAGAACTATAAATACTTGAGGGACCTTAGCTCGAGACTTCCTTTCCTCCTTAGCTTAGTTTTCTTAATAAATAGTTCTCCTATAAATACCTTATCTATAGGCTCCCTTTATAGGTCTATAATATTAAACTAAGCTCTTTCTTTTTACCTAGAAAGACTCTAGAATATTTCTCCTAAGATAATTATTTACTTCTAAAGAATAATTCCCTATATATAAATTATATATATCTAATATCTTTAATATAGCCTCTTATACTAATAGCCTTTTTAAGGGTCTTTACTTATATCCTATAATCCTATCTCTTATATCTAGTACTAAGAATACTTCTAAAATAGAACTTTCTGCCCCGAGAGAATTATTTATTCTATCTAATATTTATTCTAATATACTCATATTATAATAAGCCCAAGTTAAGATCCAGATAAATATCCAGACTAATTATATAACCCTAAATAGCTTAGCTACTAGTTTAGCTTACTTGCTTAATATAGAGGAGCTTTCCCGAGAATGTTTTATTAGTAAAGATTATATTTCGAATAATATTTACTTCTAATCTAAATACTATAATATAATACCTAATTCCCTAGTTTCTTTTATTAAATAAATATATCCGGCTAGGGAAGTTCCTAAATATAGTAAGTTCTGTTTTATAAAGGTTCCGGATTCTTTAAAGCTTAGTAATAGTAAAAATCTAACCTATAATTATTAGTAAATCTAGATTATATAAGGTATTTACTAGTAGGTAATAAGATAATAAAATGAATTAGTAAGTTATAAAACTATAGTATTAAATTTAGTATAGAACTAATCTCTATTTCTCCTATAAGGTCCAGGGAAGCCCCCTCTAAATAGGAGGCCCTAATAATATATATATAATTAGTAATTTATAAGCCTAATACTTATAATATAAATAGTAATTAGTTATAAAGTTAAAGGGCTTCTAATTTCTCTAATTAATACCTATAATATCCGAGGTTTATTATATATCCTTAAGTTATATATAACTCTATATATATTATAGATTATTAGTAAATTCAAAGTTAATATAGATTATTATATAAATAAGAATACTTATATATACTATATTTTTAATTATATAAAAAATAATATCTAATATTATTTATATATTTAATATAAGCCTAATATTATTAATTCTTTTAAAATAGTTATAAAGATAATTAATTACCTTAATAAATACTTTATTAATTCTTATTATATATATAAAGCTAGATATAAATATAAGAAGCTATAAATAAATAAGATTTAGACTTTCTATAAGTTTAAAATCAAGTTTATTTATTTAGTAAATAAAGCTCAGATCTATTTATAGAACCGTTTTAATAAGCTATATAATAAGCTAATATTTCTTTTTTAAGAATAACTCATAAGCTAGTATTACTTTATTTATATATTTTATAACTTATATTATATAGCCTTATTAGTTAATTCCGAAATAAAAGTACTATAGACCCATAAAAGCCTTAGAGAATATATTAAAGCTCGAGCTATTACTATTTTTCTAATCTTTATTACTTCTAATATCTTTATATTTACTATTCCCAAGCTTTATATAATAACTTCTTATATTTTTATATTAACCCAAATATTTCTAATTATTAATAAGCTAGCTATTAAGAGAAAAAGTATTCCTGCTTTAACCTTAACTTGCTTTAATTACTTTTAGACTAGTTATATAGCCTATAACTATCTAGTACTAAAGTATATTACTAATATTAAGGAACTAGAGAAAAATAATAAGTTTATAAAGGCTAATATAAATAATATACCAGGAAACGAAAATATTTAGAAAAAGACTTTTTCTTAGATAAATTTAGAATTAATTTTATAAAAATTAACTTAGACTAATTAATAAGAGAACTATATTTAATTATATCCTATAACTTATCTTATAATAAATATTTAATTAATATTTCCTTTCTTACTAACTCTAGAATAAATAGTTTTATATTTATTAATATTTTCTTTATTATAGATATTACTATTTTTTTTAACCTTAAGTTCTAATATTTACCTAAGACTATTAATATTAAGAGATATAATAGCAAGCTAGGAATCCGTATTACTTATTTCTTAAGGATATATCTTATTATTAACTAGAAATAATAATATAATATTTCTTTATTAATTCTTAAGCTTGAATCTTATAATTTTATTCTCGGCTATAAGTAACTAGAATACTTTAAATTACTTCTTAATATTTAAAACTAATATTTAATATAGCCCGAGCTCTTCTTTCTATTACTCTCGGTTATATAAGAGATTTCTATATCTCAAAAAGCTTTATTTCTTGCCCCAAAACATATTTCTTATTCTAATTATTAAATAAATATTAAAGCCAGAAACTATATATTTTAATAAGAAGAACTAATAATAAGCTACTAGGAAATAAGCTTTTATTAAGAACTATAATATAGAAAATAACTCTATTACTAACTTCTTTTTATATACTAGCTTTATTAATAATATTACTTCTAAATATAATTTTACTAATTCCGAATTAGACCTAAAAAAAGAACCTAAACTAGTACTAGTTACTCCTATTTCTTAGAAGCCAAAAATTAAATACTTCTATAAATAGAATATTTAAAATAGCTATTACTAAATAGAAAACTCTCTAGCTAGTATTATTTATCTTATAAATATCCTATATTAGAAGAGATTATATATAGAAAAAAAGCTAATAGAAGCTCCTATTATTAAGATTACTAGTATTAGCTTTATAAATATATATTATAACCTTTAATAATCCGAGAATAAAGCCTTTACTATAAGCTTCTATAAGATTAATAGCTTCCTTAAATAATAAAGAAAGTTTCTTCCGGAAACTAATATAAAAAACCTTATTATTTCCGGATAATATATTAAGTTTAATAGGGCCTTTTTTAAGAAAGCCTCTAATATTCTATCTCTTTATTAGTTATATAATTATAAGATATAATTAGAAAAAGAAATAAAGAAATATCTGAAATATAATTCTTTATATAAGATAATAATAGCCAAATTAGAAGCTACTAAGAAATACTTTTTAGAGAATCTTAATAAGAGTTTTATTACTTCTAGTTAATTACTATTTATAGCCCTTATTCTTTTTATAAGAAAGTCTAATAAGAGCTTATAATTCTATATTAATTACTAGAAGCTTAACTAGATTACTTATAAGAACTATTATTCTTTCTTTCTTATTAATAAGATCTTGGCTAGAATTAGTAAAGCTAAAATCTTTATAAAGCTTAATATTTATTAGGCTTTTTACTAAATTCATATAAATTTCGAATTAAAGAAATTAATAATATTTTATATATATTATAAGATATATAAATATAAGATTTTACTTTTCGGATTAACTAATAAACTAGCTATTTACTAGTACTATATAAATAATATTCTATTTAATTATCTAGATAACTTTTATATAGCTTATCTAAATAATATCCTTATTTATTCTAATAATAAGTTAAAGTATAAACTTTATATAAAGAAGGTCTTTTAGTAGCTCTAGGATATAGACTTATAAGTAAATATTAAAAAATGCAAATTTTATATTATATATATAAAATACCTTGGCTTTATTATTTCTATAAATAATATTAAAGTTAATTCTAAGAAAGTTATTATTATAAAAAATTAGAAAGCTTTTTATATTATAAGAGAAATATAAGCCTTCCTGAAATTCTATAACTTCTATAAAAGATTTATTCGTAATTATAATAAGATTACTAAGCCTCTATTAAATCTTATATATATAGATATTCTCTTTTTATTTAATAAGGTTTATTAGAATACTTTTAAGAAATTTAAAGCCTATCTTATATTATTAGCCCTATTTTATTACTATAATCTAGAATAATAATTAATAATTGAAACTAATATCTTAAATAATATTATTACTAGTATTTTTTCCTAATAATATAGTAATAAGTAATACTCTATAATATTTTTCCTAAAAACTATAATACTTATAAAATATAATTATAAGATATATAATAAAGAGATACTTGCTATTATATAATCTTTAAATTAATAATACCCGGAATTTTAAGAAACTATTTATTAAATCCAGATCTATATAGATTACTACTTATTAGAATACTTTATAATAATAAAGAAGCTTATAAATAAATAAGCTAGATAAGCTAAAGCCTTAGCCAAGTACTATTTTATTATCTAATATAGATCTAGTAAATAAAATATAAAAACTAATATTCTAATATACTAAGATAATAAGATTATTTAATAAAATAAAGTAAAAGAGAAATATTATACTAAGGCCTTTTTTTCTTAAGACTAAGTTAACCTAAAAGTATTTCAGGACCTTAGTATTAAAGTTAATTTCCTTTTTATTCTCTAAAATAATAATAATAACCTTAATAAAATAAATAAGTTAATTAAACAGATCTTATAAAATAACTATAAAGCCCCCTTTTTATAAGTTCTCTATAAATAGGCTAAACGAGATAATACCGACTTTATTATAAAGAATAGATTATTATTTTATTATAGATAACTTATAGTACTAGAAAGATAATTATATATAGATTTAATTTATAAGGCTTATAACTAAGTTTCTATAATATATCCCGGTAAAAATAAAACCTATAAGCTATTATAGCTATAGTATTACTAGAAGAATATATAATATAATATTACTTAATATATCCATAATTACTAATTATATAGACAGGTAAATATCTCAAGAAATAAGACTCCTAGTTTACTTTACTCTTTACTAGTTCTAAACTACTTATAGTAATATATTATAATAGATTTCAAGTTAATATCTGGCTTAAAATCCGGCTATAATACTATATATATTATAATTAACTAATTAAATAAATAAGCCATTTCTATATCTTACTATAAGATAACTATAGTAAAGAATATAGTAAAGATATATCTCTAAACTATCTATTATTATTATAGCTCTCTAGCCTCTATTATTTCTAATTATAGTTCGTAATTTATATTAGTATTCTAAAAGGAATTTAATAGAATTCTAGATATAAAGTTAAAGCTATTAATAGTATATTACTTATAAATTAATAAATAGACAGAAATTATAAACTAATATATTAATTAATAATTATATTTATATATTATATACTATTAAGATAACTAGAATAAGTATTTACTAATAATTAATTATATTTAACTTACTTTCTTATATAGCTCTATTAGTATATCTCTATATAAACTCCTTAATAGCAGGCTTCTATAAACCTCTTTTAACTAGTTAATTCTAATAACCATATCTTAAGATAAGCTAAGTAAGATAAAGGCTTAATAGATTACTAGATAAATAGAAGATACTATAAAAAGAGATAAGGAAAATATAAAATAGATATAAAAAAGAATAGAGAAATATACTAATACTAAATATTACTTTATAGATTTCAAAATAGGAAATAAATATATATATTAATAAAAAGTAAAAGATATAATATTCTAGCTATAAGCTAGATTACTAAATAGCCAGGCCTTACCCGATCCTATATTAAGTTAGTAATTCCTATAAGATCAAACTACCCAAGAGTATTAAAAATTATAATATATTCTCTCTAGACTATTTATATAAGGCTACTAATAATCTATTACCTGGCTAGAAGAATAAACTACCTCTACTAATTCAAGTAATAATAGACCGAGAGTACGAAGTATAGGATATCCTGGTATTAAAGATAGAGCGGGGAAAGCTCTTATATAGGGTCAGTTAGGTTAGATATAATAAAGACCTTAACTAGTATCCGGCCTCTAATCTAAAATACTCCCCCTATAAGCTACGAGACTACTACTTGGCTAATTAATAATAGCCAGGCCTACTAAAGAAGCTAGTCGACTGGATACGAGCCTGGGAGAACGGAACGGAGAACTATAATGATTTGGATAATGATTCTATAATGCCTACCCGCTTGAGGACAAGCTTTTTCCAAGGGGGAAATAATGTTATGATTTCACGCTTTATCTGAGCCTGGCATCTGGCATTTGGCATCTGGCATTTGGTATCTGAGTATCTAGCATCTGGGGTCACATGATAGTTACACGTGACGAAGCTAGGGAAAGCTGCACTTTAGGAAATTTAGGACACTAAGCCCTATTAGGCCGAGCCACAAGCGAAGAACTATAAATACTTAAGGGACCTTAGCTCGAGACTTCCTTTCCTCCTTAGCTTAGTTTTCTCAATAAATAGTTCTCCTACAAGTGCCTTATCCATAGGCTCTCTTTATAGGTCTATAATATACTTAAGAGATTAAAAGAGGCCAATATTAAGTAATTAAAGAAAATATATACTATATGGTAATAGTTAAAAAGAGACGGTTTTATAAGACTAGTAGTAATATAGGAACTCGTTTAAAGTATAGGAGCCATAACTATTAAATATTAATATCCTCTACTTGCCTTATATATATCTATATATCTGATTATAGAAATACTTAATATATTTCAGGCTAAGAATATTATTTATATATCTAGTCGAGCTCGTAATAAATACTATTTCGGTATTAAGATTATTATTAAAGTATTTCTCTAATAGAATTTCCCTCTTTAAAATCAGGAATAATATAATTACTTCGCCGCCAGCGGATATAGTTTTAATTATAGTAAGTAATTCTCGATTATCTGGATCTGCCAAATAGATAGCTTTCGTATTAAGGTATATAATAATAAATTTTCCGTTTAAAACGCTAATACAAAAGCCAGTTTCGTCCATATTCTATGTATCTTTAAAGCAAATTCCATACTTCTCTAATACCCTATAATATTCCTGAAAATGCTCTTCCAGATCCTCCTTTCAATATACCGCCTTTCGCTCTTGTACTAGTATCTTTGTACGAAGGGTTTTAAACCATGATTTGTTCCGTTTAAACCATTATTGTACCCAGAGGCGGTTTACTTAATAGGTGGATGCGCTCTCCCCAAGGATCATATTAGCCGCCGCCCGAACCGTCTTAAAATCAGCTCTATGGCCTAAATAGACCAGGAAATTAATAAACTACTTCAGGCCCTTCTCCTGATCAGGAGTAAGTGTTTTATTGAGGCCCCCCTTGGTATTCTGTGGTAATCGGCCAGCGAGACGCGCTTTCCAGAGGCGTAATGGGACCCTAAATTAATGCGCAATCGCAGATTTTTTGACATGTGGGTTCCTGGCATAGAAATCGGAGGCCTGGGCCATCCTTTTCTCTTCTTCTGGGTCGAATTTGGCCATGGTATTGATATTTAATTAATTAAAATCGATATAATAGTAAAAAAAATTACCGTATCGCTGATTTTTGACCGTATCGCTGATACACACTAAACCCGCAGGGACGCAGGGGCTTTAGTGCAAGTCTTGACGCACGATTAGCCGGATTATACTAAGAACTAAATTATTTTAGCTACGTTAAAACTATATTTGAAATATAAGTAATTGCTAAATAGGCAAAATGGAGTTATTTATTATGGATTTTTTCTTTTTTTAAGGCTAAATAATCCCCTAAATAAGGGTATTTAGATTTCCTTTTAGGGGGGAGTAATATAACGACTAGTATAATTGCATAATTTGCCACGAATATTATACTAGAGGAAATGTGCCTAAAACGGGGCAAGTGAGCTAGAGACTAATAAAACACTACTAAAGGTCGAGGCATTCCCTTCTCCTTTACTCTCTAGCTTAGTATTTTCAATACATAAGATTCTCTGAACTTTGAGCCCCGACCATTACATTGATCCCGCCGTCACACATTGTCTAGATAGCAACGGAACGCCAGACAATACGGCTACGGACACTATTTGCCAAGGGGAGGGGCACGGCGCATCACTAGTGTCACGTGCTGCGCACAGGCGTATATATAGCTTCTTCACCGCCCTTAGGGCACCATATTCATACATATTTACACCAAAACACACACATTCCACTTCCACAGCTTGTCCAGGCCGTGACAACTAGAGCTTGAACAAGCAGAATATGGTGTTATCACCAATTATAAAGACTATTATTCGAATAATTGTTCGAATAACTGCAGTTGGAGGCGCGATTGCCAGAGTGTGGGGACAACAGGAAGCGATTCTAGTTGTCGCCAGAAATGCTGGGGAGATTAGGAATGTTGACGATGAGCGTTTGGCAGCAAGTCACACCGAATCACATGCCATTTCACTGGCTCGTGGCTGCTCACCTCACCGCCCAAAATATGCTGTATTAAGGGGCTTCCCAGCCTTCGATAATCAGAGAATCAAGGCTTCCAACCACCTGGATTTGACACGGCTGACAGCCGAGGGTGGACTAGAAGGGTTCACCAGCCAAACACTCACCCACTCAACCGCTTAAACCTGAATTTGGCCACGACAGTACTATAATTTTGAAAAACTAACATTGGAATCGGACTTTTTGGGGCATTTTATTTTCCATGTTCTGAGAAGTTTTGAGAATTTTCTAAGCACTTTGAAAAATCCATAAACTTTTGGTGTTCTGACAGGAGTATAAGTAGGCGGTTGAGTGGTTTGGGCGTTTGGCTGGTGAACCCTTCTGAGCCCAAAATCGACTTAGCGCGGCTCGCCTGAGGCTTGGCTGCCCCTGAATTGGAGAGCTGAAAAGGGTTAGCCTGCAAGTACCCCGCCAGCATCAAACGCCGTTCACCGCCAAAACTTCTTGCGTTTTGGAGCTCATCCCTTCTTCGATTACTTGAGATATTTGCTGTACGGCAAGTAAGTGTTCACATTTCGAGCCCCACTTACTCTGTGGTACCCCCCTTAGAACGTTGATTTATCGAAACGCCTTCACACAATGCGCCTCTCCCTCACCTCGCGCTGCCCAGTCTGCAGCAGCACGGAACATCTTCTTCGGTGTCAAGGCTGTAAGGTCCAGGCTTACTGTGGTCGTGAACACCAGGTCTCGGACAGAGATGCCCACAAGAAAGCGTGTAATAGTGTCAAGAAGGCTCAGCACACGCTCGATATCGAGGAGCAAAAACTACGTGCTCACCCAGGAGACTTCATGACTCCTCCGAACCTCTTTGAAGAGGGAGTGGGTCACTTTTGGGGTATCCACGAAACACGTCCTTACATGAGAGCTCGGTACGCACTGATTGAGAGTCTCTTGAAGATCCAGACATCCCAGGCTGTACAGTCGGCTCTCAATCATGCCTTGGACATGCTTCGTCTTTGTCGTGGTGACAATATTGGAGTTCGGGACTGTATTCCCGCAATGTTTTTGAGGTTGGGCAAGGACCAAGCATGCTATGATTTTATCAAAGTGGGTGATATTCTCTGAGCGCAACTTTCTTTTCCGTACGTGTCGAGAGTCGCTTTTCACTTCTTCAGACATGTTTCCAAAACCAACAACCCCTCCTCGCGGCGGACAAAAAAAGCGGCACCGATTGTCAATATCCCAAGTCAGAAGCGTACATTTGGCTGGGCATAGAGAGGCACGAATATATAGTACCCCTGTTGATTTCCGAGATAGCCGAGGAGGGAGGCTTTGATTCTACAATAAGTCGAGGGAACATTCGTAGGAAGTTTTCTTGGAATACCCCAAGTTGACTTGAGACATTGAGGATTCAATGCCGCCTTTTCTGTCCGCCGTCAGCGTTCAAAAGCCGCTCTGGCTCTCGAAATTATTCCCTCAATAGGCAATGCTAACTCCGAAAACAGTGGTATTTTACAACTGGCCAAGATCCTCACTACGATTGGGGTGACACGGACCTACCATTTCTTGATGTCAAGGATGCCGATTCCTTTGAGTCGGTCGAGCTTTACACTGGCACGTATGCCGACATTAGCTTCGTCGTGGCCGTCGCTCTAATCAAGTTCCGGCTCTTGTTGGATATCAAAGCTCTACAGAACTCAACAGTTCTCGGTGAGAAAGTCCCCCAAGAACTTCTAGACAGTATTCGTGGTCAACTTGTCAGTTCCATTGTTGCCGGAAACAAGGATATCATGCAGAATCAGGACCAGACAGTCCTCATCAAGAAGTTGGAGTCTCAGGTGGAAGAGCTTTTCAAAGCTGTCAATACTTCGAACAAGTATTTCTGGCCCGCTTTGCTTCGACCTGTAAGTGTTTGGAAGTAACGCTTTTCCTATTTAAAACTGCGTCATGAAATCCTCTTGAGAGGATGTCTTCTCCCGAAGCACCCCTGATTGAATGAGTGCTAACTGCCCGGTTTTCTAGGGCTCCAACCTCAACGCGCGACCCCAGATGTACAGCAAAGGGACAGTCGAACACATGCAACTGGTCCTTCAGTACTCTTATGCATCATGGGTCGAGACCCCTGGAGCTATCGATATGATCAAGGAGCTATCCAAGAAACATACTGGCAACTGATACTCTTTCGTTCGGCCTGGGCTTCAGGTGGGATTGAGCCTTGCGCTCCTTGTCTTGCGGAAATTTTAAAGTCCGAGATAGTTGGGGCTGGCTGAGTTTGGGTTGCGTCTCTGTATTCTGCTGGGAGTTGCCTCGTGGTGGCGTGGATGTCATTTGCTTGGGGGGTACGTCTAGAAAGATCCAAGTGCTTCACAGCCCGTGATGAGGCGCAAACTTGAGTCCCGAAATGAGGAGTTACTAGCGTTGCTGCAATACAAGAAGCCCAAAATGAATCTGGTAGCGGCAAATGTCATCTGTTTTCGTCCTGAAAAATGATGAAGTATATCATAGCCGACAGTCAGTATTAATTTCGACTGATTAAGATATGTTCTCAACGAGTAAGTTGGAAATCCTGTAAGATTGCCTCGAGCGAGCCATTTTCTATTGTTCGCGACTCGTTAAGCCCTTCCGAACTGTATCTCTATCTTGTCATATCATCCACATTCCCTTCCGAGTCGCCTCACTGTTCGTCTCTTCCCTTCTGACATGCCGAAACATCGCGCGTCATCAAGAAGGGACGTCCACGTCTACCTTGATGAGGATGACCCACGTGTCAGACGAACTCGTCGTGACTAGTCCGTAAGAATGTTGGTCATATCTACATAACAACTCATCCAGAAAGCTGGAGTGGATTCATGGGAACCAATCTAGCTGCAGAGGAAGATAAATTAGGGAGGCCTCTCCTGTGAACAGCCAGGTCAAGCCTAAACCAGAAAGAATACATCTCAGACGTTCTAGCTCCTTCTACAAAGACCTTTCAAACAAGTCGTCCAACTCAATGGCATGGATCTGCTTCATCCGACAAGTCTAATCGAGTCACCCAATTCCGACTGATTCAATGTCCTTCGTAAAACTCCAAGAATCACCCAGGTCGAAATTTCGCGAAGGCAAAGCAAATTTCCATGTGAATCTCTCGGCTCACGCAGTGAAATATTGCAAGGACTTGTTGCTCAAGAAGACGCAATGGAAACAGTCAGAATTGTACATCTTATAAATTCTCCGATCTGTGAACTTTTCTTTGTTTCCATCATACATCTCAACAAATTTCGAACTCATGATCTGCAACTATGGCGCAAGATAGTATCAACAACAACAAAAGCGAGACCGTTCAGGATATTGAAAGCGAGTTTCACGGCCACGAAGGACCTCCTTTTGACTCATGCATAGCTTGTCGAGCTGCACCAGGTACCTTACGGCCCCGTTTGGAACGCCAGTCGAGCGCACTCGACCACTACTTTCAGGAGATAGAGAGGACTGTGGAATATTTGACTCGATGTGTTGATCGTCTGAAGTATTTGAGAGAGGAGAATGTTGGTGTTTTCGACGATGCGAGAAAATATCATCAAGATAGAGCTGGGGAGGAACCTTTGCGAGGATGGGAAGTGAGGATGCTTGCAATGGTGGGAATGTTGAGGGACATCCAGGTGGAATCTCCACATGTGGCTCATCTCAATGTGTAAAGCACAGTTGTCACGTAATTGAAGAATCTGAAACTCTGAGTCTCCTGAATGCCTGGTTTGTCTGACATTGTAGATCCAAGTGAGGATGAGGGAAATGATTGTCAAATTTGAGATCGACGTTGGGCCACGTCCAAACTTGCCATTCAAAAAGGACTCTGAGCTATGAGCAAATATTGGAATAACGCCATACGACGCTCTTGCAGCTGAGCAAACATCTTATCGTGACACTAGACTAGTCAAACAACTTGAATTTGGCAACTATAAGAAGGTGATTTTCACCAGAACTGTGAGAATTACCAAGAGTTTGAACATTTTCAACCTATCAGCGCCTTTGAGAGACCACGGAAAAGACCGTGGCACTCAGATCTTCAACCACGACAACATCCTCTAGAGGTTGGTTTAGATTTATTGATGCAGATGGGAGGCTTTGTTGGCGTCACGTCAAAACAGGACTTCTGACGGATCTTGATCCTCGATTGCACCCTCTGCCGTGTAGCTGGGTCGAAGTATCCCAGGGGAACCGCATTTCCTGACCCGCTCCCAATTATTTGTGTCTGAGAGAAGAAATATAATTTAACACAACTTGTCTGCAAATGCACTTCCATTGTACTGGACACTTTACGAACATTCCGGGAACTTTGAGGAGCCTCAACACATGAAGACTTTCCGAGCCTTGCGCTTACAATTAAGTTGCATCGATACAGCTGATTACAATTATCAGACTTGGCAGGAAATCGACTCTACTGAGCAAACCCTGAGGTCAGATTGAGAAGAGCCGCATTCATGGATTCAAACGGAATTCACAAGCGTGGTGGACAATCGACCACTTCTTGGCAATGGCCCGCACTACTCAGCTCAATCGCTCGAGCAGTTAAATAAAAAATTCTGGTGAAAGCATAAGAAGAGAGCCTCAATGGGGAATGTCTTCCATTGCAGACCAAGGGCTGTAGCTATCAAGTCTGAATTGCTGTACCTAGAAGATTTTACTCAAGACCCTCTTGACCTGTTCTGGTTGATCCTCGGGTCGTCTCTTTAAAGCAACTGGCGTCTGCTTGAAATGCCTTGCCCGTTCTCCGCCCTTCTTCGTCTCTTTGTGAACGGGCTCACTGCTGCCCGCTTCTGCCTCTTTTCTTCTCTTCGCGGCCGTCTTAGCCTCCATCCCTTCCAGCATCTTCGCCCGCTCCACATTCTGTACGAATTCCTTATTTTCCTTCGTAGTCTTGCTGATCTCCGCTCTCATTCTGCTTGCTCGCTCTGCGTTCTCTGCCGCAATCTGCTCCGTCAAATTGTTCCACTTGAAGCCCTTCAAATAGAGCAGATTCCAGACGTCGTCATGATAATAAGTGCCCTTCTTTCCACCAATTGTCCTCGCATTCAGCAGCTCACAAGCTTGCTTCGCGTCGGCCTTATTGACAAATTCGACCCAGCCATCCACAAAGGACCGCTTCTTGTTCCCTCCACTGCGAACTCGACGGGTATGCGATGCAGGGTCTTCAGGCGTCATGAATATGCGATTTATCTCACCGTATGGTTCCAAGAGAGAGCGTAGTTTCGTAGGTTTCATGAATGGAGGAATTCGGGACAAGTAGACCACGCCGGATCGTTTGATTGCAGCAGCCGTCGCAACCAGATTCTTCTTCGTGAGAGGCTTAGAGATACCGGGCAGATCTGCAGCGCTTCGTGGCTTTGTATGCTTTTCCTTCCCGCTTTCTCTGGTCTTCGGCTTCTCCTTCTGTTCCTCTGGCTCGTCATCGCTGAATTCTGCATCCTCAGCATCGCTGGCAAGGCTCTCGACTTTCCTCCGCTTTGGACTCCTGCCGCCCTTTCTAAGATTATCGTCTTCGGAGTTATAACCCTGGCTCCCGTCCTCTTCGCCGTCCTCTACATCGAGGAAGTCGTTGTGCTTTCTTGTCGCCATTTGGTGTGGTGGTTGGTGATGAGGAAGTTTTCTGAGGCTGAGAATTTGAAATTTAAAGTTTGGCGCGGCCTGAGACCCCTGTAATCTTAGCGGGGCATGTCACCTACGTCCCAGTTTCATCCCACCTTCTTTGTTGACATCTTCGAAGTTCGAGAAGAGTTGACTCGACTGCATGCAAAATGTCTGTCGAAACGATTACGACCATCTCCCCTATCACGAACAAGCCAATCTTGACCAGAAATGGCGTTTCTGCGGCTGGTCTCAAGCTCCTCCCTGAGGTGGCAACAGAAGCTTTCCTCAGCTTCCGGAAGACCACTTTGGCAGACAGACAAGCAATTGTGAAAAAAGCACTGAAGCTTCTGGGGGACAAGCAGGATATACTGGCAAAAGAACTCACGGAGCAGATGGGACGACCGATTGCATACACGGCAAAGGAAGTGACAACAGCGGTGAAGCGAGGAGAATATTTGCTCAAGATCAGCGAAGAGACGTTGAAGGACACGGAGGGCGAGGCAGAAAAGGGATTCAAGAGATTTATTCGAAAAGTTCCTGTCGGCCCGGTTCTTATACTTTTTGCTTGGAATGTAGGTTCTTGGCACACCAAAGCTCATAAGACTTGTGCTAATAGCTCCAGTATCCATATTTGATTCTGATCAACTCCCTCATACCCGCCCTTCTCGCAGGCAATTCAGTCATTTTGAAACCTTCTCCTCAGACACCGACCATCGTCGAGCATATCACTTCCATTTTCGAAGAAGCCGGCCTCACCCAGAATGTCATACAATATTTCCACTGTGGTTCTCCTACTACAATAGAGTCGATTGTTAGGGATCCAAAAGTAGCTCTCATATGCTTCACTGGTTCTGTAGCTGGTGGTTTGGCTGTTCAGAAAGCTGCGGCAGACCGCATTGTGAATGTCGGTCTGGAATTGGGTGGCAAAGACCCAGCTTACATCCGATCAGATGTCGACGTCGCATGGGCTGCAGAGGAAATTGTGGATGGTGCGATCTTCAACTCTGGCCAAAGTTGTTGCAGTCTGGAACGCATCTACGTTGACGAAAAGATCCATGACGAGTTTGTTAAAGCTGTGCAAAGCGTTCTCAAGAACTACAAACTTGGCGATCCCTTTGATGAGAAGACGCACCTTGGTCCTGTTGTCTCGAAGCATTCGAAGGAGACGATCGAAGCCCATATCAAGGACGCACTAGAGAAGGGTGCAAAGGACGCCACTCCTGAGAATGATTCGTTTAAATCTCCCCCTCCTGACGGGAATTTCGTCAAGCCCACCCTTCTCACAAACGTCGATCACAGTATGATTGTCATGACCGAAGAAAGCTTCGGGCCTATTTTGCCAGTAATGAAAGTCAAGGGAGACACGGAAGCTATCAAGTTGATGAATGACAGCGAGTTTGGGCTTACTGCCTCTATATGGACGAAGGATGGTGAAAAAGGGGCTGAACTGGCGGAGCAGGTGGACGCAGGGACCGTGTTTGTCAATCGTTGCGATTATCCAAGCCCTGTAAGTTACACATCCCTTGTCTCAACTAAGTTACTTACAGAGCTGCAGGATCTTGCTTGGACTGGCTGGAAGAATTCTGGGAAAGGTGTTACTTTGAGCAAGTTCGGATTTGAGCAATTTGTGAAGCTGAAAAGCCTCCACTTTAAGGATTATCCGAAGTAACGGGTCACATGCAACGATGACTTTGCTCCATTGGCATAAGCCATAGGACCTTCAGCGGCACAAGGTCTCGGAAATGTAGCCCGGACATCGACGATCTTAAACGACGAAGGTATGATAGTACGAAACTGGGCACTACCTTCGCGATGGAGGTCTCTCCGACGTTGTGTTATAGAAGCTTATGCCTTCTAGCTGGCTCTAGAGTGGAAAACTAAAGTTGTTATGATAGCACAAGAAGACTTTGGTCGCCGACTCGTGCTTTGTCCCAAAACGTGGTTGTTCAACGGTCACCCCTTGCGGCCTTCGTGATTGGCTCCCTTCGACGCCATCCCTTGGAACCGCACCCTTGATTGTCCAACACGAAGCTCAAACCTTGCTCAGGAGATGAACAAAGGTCCAAAAGATCGCACAACATGATAAGCGCCTGCGCTTCTCCAAATTGTCGGTACCTTGCATACCCTCTCTCCCTTCCCGCTTATCGTTCCAAGAGGTTTCGAAACGATCTTCGCATGTTGACCCCTGCCTTCCAAAGTGTTCTACTATACAGAGGAACAGTTATACAATAACACCGTTCCCTGAGCCTGCTAATCTTCTGATTCTAGATATCCTGATCTGAATTGGTGTCACGATAGGTGGTGTGAGCTAACGAATGCGGAGTAGCTCACATTCCTTCCTGCCTTGGCTTATCAGCCATGGCGACGAATTCTTCGGCGCAAGGAGCAACCTCCTGCCACGTTATTTGAGTTGCTCCGCAACACAGAGAATGGTCGACTCGACGCCACAAGTCCATCTTATTGTAACACTGACTCTTTCTAATTAGATGAACCTTGAAAATCGTTGCCAGGGGCAGCTTTTTATCTCCACCTTCGACATGACGACTCATGTATATATCTTGACCTTTCCCCAGGTTTGGCTGGGAGCCATTTTCGTCTTCGACATCTTTGGTACTCTGTCAGCCACCATCATTTGAACCTGCCTTCCTTGTCTGTCCTTGCCGATCTAGGCCATTCGTCTTTCCATTGCCATCCGTTTTCCAGCAAGCGTCTCATTTTTGTACCTTTCATATTCCCCAATCTTGCGGTTTGCCATTCAAATCACACACTTTTCAACAGCTCCTTATATAATCCTTCGATCTCCTGTTGAAATATTCAAATTTACTCAACGACATCCAACCAGATGACGTGTTTCCAAGAAGTGATCTCCAAGATTCGGTCCAAATGCCGCAATACCCTCGGTCTGAAATCAAGTTCAAAACATAAACGAGTGGAAATTGTGGGCTCGCTTTTCCCTTGGAATATTTTATTTGAGATGTGACGCTGACTACCACCAGAGTGCTCCGTTCGACTTCAAAGAAGGGCCTGCAGTCAACTTTCCTGGATACAGCGAGGACGAGTAAGAGAGCCACCTGCCCGTTCAACATTCTGGGTTTGGATATCTGACAGGAATATTGCAGTATCTCACTCATGCGCGAGAAAGCCATTGCATCGACGGCAATCGTCGAAGATGGGGAATTCGACCTAGCCTCTCGAATACAGCGGCCACGCTCGAGAGCAAGTTCATTTGGTTGTGGATTGGGAGGACGGGTGGTTTATCACGCCAGAAGGCTTAGCAAGGGAAATATATATTGAAGACCGAACGGTAGAGCGGTTCGAGTGTACGGAGACTTGGAAGAGTATTCTTAACCATTCATAGGAGGTCGGGAGTTTATAGGCTTGGATAGAAGTCACTTGCATATTACAACTTGGAATTTGGTGTGTCAATTGTCATCCATTCTTATGGTTCTCTCTGCTGTCCAGGAAATTGACTCCAACCATTCCGCCCTTACCACCCCCGGGATATCAGAAGAAAAAGACGCCTTCCATGGCCAGAAATGAGGTAACCATCAGTCCTCCAGCTCAAACGCCAGAAACCGGGTGTCTATCCTTCAATCCTTCAATTTCTCCGCTACGACCCAGTCCTATCCATACAAATTAGCATACATTTCTGAAAAAGCGCGTCATGGCCCTCAAAGGTGAGAAAAGGAAGCATTCGTACCTCGATATTGTACGACGGGAATCCCATAGGGACATATTGAGGAGCCTTCTTCCATTTGGGATGGTTCATCGGGAGCTGGCCATCCAATATCTTACTCTCCTTGATGGACTCGTCGATAGCTTGACCGGGGACGAGGATAGGCTTGAGTGCGCGGCCCTCAGCAATGGTGAAGTAGGTCTTGCTCGGGTTTTCGAAGGGCATCGGGAGCTCGGATGCGAGAAAGGCCATGTTGCCTTGAATGTTCTCGAGTGATTGCATGATGGAGGCGGCGTATTGAGTTGTGTGTGAAGGATTTGGATGGATGCAAGGAAGGTGGTCAATGAAAGATCGAGTATGTAAAGTAATTAAGTCTGTCGCCTTTGTGGGCGAGTAAATTTACTCGTGGCGGTCCAAGTGTCCGTTGTTGTCCCGATTTGGTAGACGGTAGGACTATGTCAGGCGCTTTTACATTTGCTGAAGAACTTCCTTCGGCCTGTCTTTGATTTGAAAATGCACTGACATAACTCGTTCGAGAGCTTGACGTTGGCATTATCAGTGTATTGGCGTATTGTTCTTGAAGTCTCTTTTGTGCACATGGGTCCCTGAAGAGCTTCCTCGAGATGCGTCAGTGGCAGAACTGTATGAGTTCGCACCGCCTTCTCTAATGGCTTCAATTTAGGTACGCATAGAGGGCAGGGGAAGCACATGCTTGAACTATATGTGAGCTTTGCTTCCTCGTCAAACTCTTTGTATGGTTTTCGAGGCACTGCGTCGAGTTTCGGCAATGTGGTTTATGGCTGATGACTTTCAGGTTTCGCAGCAATACGACTTAAACAAGACAAATGGTGATAAGAACAAAGACAAACTCTCACTAGAGTGCTAGGGATTCCAATGAGCCGTCCTTTTCCGTTATCTGTATATATGGTTTGGTTTGACAAGATGTTGTTTCGCCTTGAACGAATCAACAAGTGGTTCTGAGCAAATAAACATGATAATGTACCCAAACAGTTGAGGGATGACAAGTCTAACAAAAGCTCAACACACTTAAAGGACATCAATGAAAAGTTTTAGCCTTTTGTGAATAATACCAAGGTACGAGATGAAGTCAGGCCAGTTACTTCTTTCAAAGGTACCAATGCACGTGACCCTTTTAGTCTAGTTCCTCACTCCTGTTTAGATATAATAACCTTCTCGAACGTCCAGTTTCCTCAATCATCTGCGAGATCGATGACATGTGTGGTCTTTGAGACAGTTGCAACTTTGGCAAGTTTCGAAGCATTGGACCCAAGAAATTCAGGGTCTCGAATGACATCCAGCACAATCCAATTCTTCCATCGCCTCGGGTACATTCGACCGACGATTATCTAATTCCTTTAACTCGTCTAACAAATCGTCATCTGACAGTCTTTTCACCCCTTCCATCTTTGCAAGAGAGTAGCAGAATGATAACATAACATCCGTCAACATATCTTCAGAAAGGTGATTAGCAAAAAAGCTCATTCTGCCACTGGCGGCGTGTGAGGGAGAAGAAATACGGGATATAGAGCCCCAATCTTGGCAAGAATCTTGATTGCGTTAAGCTTCATCTCCCAGCAGGCTCGCCCAGAAGCACACAAGAAGATACGGCTTATGATCTGCTCAAAGCAGTTTCGAATTTAAGTAGTAGTCAAACTCGAGAGGAATCGCACTGTCTACAAATGAGTGAGACGCGACTTTCCGTGGGAGTGGGGCACTTCTGTGGGGCAGTGGGGCAATTCCATTGGTACGAGAGAATTATGCAAGTTTTGTGCTGCCAAGTTGAATTCAGGGGTTCGACAGACCACCAGGAGGTCTTATCCGATATTGAATTCGCTCGCAGCAGCCATGTGCTCCTTCATCTTCTTTTTCATCCTCCTAACAGCATCGTTACCATCCACAGAGGGTAGATCCAACTCCAGTTTCTTTTGCTTCCGCACTCTCTCTCCTTCAGGAGCTTTGTCCTCAACCTCTCCTCTCTTCGCTTTCCTCGCTGCTACACTTCTGTCCGCTTTCGTCATCTTCGCGGGCCTCAGCCCAGGAACCTTGATGCTACCTGGCTTGTCCCTCAGTGCAAATGCTTTGGCTAAATGTCCTAAATGCAATGTCTGCATGTTGAAAATATTCCTCTCAGCTGCAACATGTGTAGCATATGCACGAATATGACTCTGAAATCCTCTTCGAGCCATCTCAAGATATTTCGGTGATTCCAATGTCCAGCGCTCAACCTCAAGTTGCCACTCAGTAGCACGATCCTCCCACTCTCTGCCAGTCCCTCCAAATCCCTTTCGCAATAAATCCTCGGCAGTGTTGTGTGTAAGTGATTTCTTTCCATCCCTATAGCCAGACGCAAGAATTGATACATATTCTTCTTCCTCTCCAGGGAGAAGGAATATCAGGGCTCGGCCATCTTTTCCAGCTCGTGCAGTTCTACCAACCCGATGTAAATGGTCGTCTGCACTGAAAGGTGGATCATATTCTATGACGTAGTCCACATTCGGAAGATCCAGACCTCGGGATGCAACATCTGTACAGATCATAACGCAGGGCTCAGCAGATTCGGTAAATGCTTTCAGAGTGGCCGTTCTGATGTTTTGAGCCAGAGATCCATGGAGCTTGTGCATGATGACTGAATTGGCTTGGCTTGAGAACGAGGTGGCATGAGCGATTGTGTCTTTTGTCAGCTCTGTCTTGGGAATTTCAGGAACCTTCACCTCCGATTCTGCATCTTCAGGTGAAACCTCAATCGGTCGGCTGAAGAGCGAGAAATGGAAGTCGACCGAATCAGCGCAGGAAATGAAGACAATGGCCTTCATCACCGAACCTCGTCGAGCAAACGCCCGCTTCAAAATGGCACTCAACGTGACCAGTCGCATCTTTGCAGGAACGACTGCATATGCCTGCTTCAACTGCGCAGGCGCTGAGAATGCCTTCTCATCGCCTTCCGTTCCATCTGCCTTGTCTTTTGCAACTTCCTCGTCAGAAGGATCTGCTTGGATATGGACTGCGTCCTTCAAACTGATCTCTCCCAATCTTTGAACGTTCATCTTCATGGTGGCAGAGCAGAGGACTGTAACTCGTCGTTTCGGTAACACCGTGAGGTCAAGATTGTTTTCCTTGTCCACGACCAATGATCTTCTCCCAATTTTCTCAACGATCCCTTTAATCTCCTCTTCGAATCCTAATTCCATCAATCGATCGCCTTCGTCTAGGACTAGCCACCTGACTGTGCCGACTTTCAAAACCTCGGTATTATCGAGATGATCTGCCAATCGGCCGGGAGTTGCAATCAGAATATTTACACCTTTCCGTAATCGTGCTTTCTCGGATTGCTTGCTCTCACCTCCAATGACGGTCGTCCCAACAATCCATGGCGCACACCTGAGGATTTTCTCTAAAACTGTGGCTATCTGCTTGCACAATTCTCGTGTTGGCGCAAGAACGATTGCAAAGAGTCCGGAATCCCGATGAACTTGTGTCTCTTTGCTGCTGATAGCCAAGATTCGCTCAACTATTGGAAGGAGGTAGGCCAAAGTTTTTCCAGAGCCAGTCTCAGCTTGGATGAAGGCATCACTGTCATCCTTGATCATCTCTGGGATTGCTGCCTTCTGAATAGCTGTCGGCGCTTTCATGTCCATCTTCGTGGAGAGGTGAGCTGCCAATCTTCGTGACAGGCCAAGAGCCGTAAATGTGGCCATCTCTTCGGTAAGAGGGGCATTTGAAGGTCTCGCGGGCTCCTGTTCCTCCTCTGGTTCCTCGAATTTGGTCTTCGAAGAAGGATTGAAAGAAAACAGGGACGAAATGACTTGTCCAGGCTTTCCACCTCCTCCTTCTCGATTTCCACTACCGATGCTGCCAGGCGGGAGCTTTCCAGAGAGAAACGCTGGCCTTGCATCTTCTTGGAATACTGTTTTTCGCTTTCCAGCAGAATCGACATTTATGCTTCCAGCGGGTAGTTTCCCCGAAACGAACGCTGGTCTCGTTTCCTCTTGAAATACCGTGCTTCGATTCCCTGCAATGTTGATGCTTCCCGGCGGAAGCTTCCCAGATACGAATGCTGGTCTTGTCTCTTCCTGGATCGCAGTAGCCCGTGTCCCACCAATCTTTATGCTGCCAGGAGGAAGCTTTCCCGAGACGATAGCCGCCGTATTTGCATCTCTTCCCGAATTGTGGTCCACTCGTTGTCTCTTCGGTGGCCTTGGAGCAGCTCCCGCGCCAATATACTCCTCCGCCGCAACATCGTGCCGTTTCTCGTTGAATATCGCTCTCGTAGACGGATTCGTTGGCGGTTTGGAGGTCCTCTTCTGCGCAACTTTCTTTGCAGCTAATCTGTCTTTCCACCGACCTCCTTGGAACGTCTGCTTCGGGAGAAGAGGACCATCCCCAATCTCAAAGTTCATTAGCATGCCATCGTCGGCCATGGCTGCTTGAATTTTGCAAAGTGTTGCGGGGGTCGCTGCAACTTTTTTTCTGCATCGCTATCGGTGGGCACGGACCACGTAGACGCCAAAAGCGGGAAGCCTAACCAATTCAAGTGAAGCGTGTTGAAGCTGGAAAAAACATCTCGGGATCGTAAAAACGCAGCAGACTTCATCACAGCATGACTCAATTCAAATTTTCCTGTCGGAATGGACCCTGAAAGGGCAATTGACAGAGTTGATTGTCCATCAATCTCCAAACCCTCTGCTACGCCAACATTTCGTTGTCAACAATAGCCATGTTTCTCAGACCAAGACCCTTCTTCTCCTTTCCCGGCACCAAGGTAGCTCTCCCGCCGGTGCTACTCAACACTCCACGCTCCTTCTCAAGCTCCAGCCTCCTATCCTCTCGACAGAAGGATCAAACCATACCCAACACATCGATCAAGGTCTTCCGCGAGATCCCCAATCTCCGCCAATGGCGCCGCAAACAGCTCCACGACTACCGCTCCGTCGGTCTCGTGCCCACAATGGGAGCCCTCCACGAAGGCCATCTCTCACTCATCCGCCTGGCGGCCGCGGAGAACTCGTCAGTAGTGGTCAGTATCTACGTCAATCCGACTCAATTCGGCGTCCACGAAGATCTAGATAGCTATCCAAAGACGTGGACGAAGGATATTGAGATGTTGAGAGATCTTGATAGGGAACTTGCTGCTGATGGAGGGAATTTGGGAAAGATTGCCGCAGTATTTGCACCAACCACTGAGGAGATGTATCCCAGTGGACGGCCGAGTCAAGAGATTGACGGGAAAGGAAGTTTTGTTACGATTACGCCTGTTGGAGAAGTGCTCGAGGGTGCGAGTCGGCCGACTTTCTTTCGAGGGGTGGCTACAGTTTGCATGAAGCTATTTAATATTGTGACGCCAGAGAAGGTGTATTTTGGACAGAAGGATGTACAACAGACGGTGGTGATCAAGAAGATGGTCAAAGATTTTTGCATGGAGACCCAGGTCGTTGTTGGCGAGACGCAACGAGAACCTGATGGGCTGGCAATGAGTTCGAGAAATGTATATTTGGGGACCAGACGACGGCGAGTTGCTACAGTTTTGTCGAAAGCACTGAGGGTAGTTGAGACGGGATACCTGCGAGGTTACAGAACGAGAGACGAACTGCTTGGACCCGCAGGAGAATTGGCAAAGTTGCTTTTGATGGAGCAACGTCAACTCAAACCCGAGGAACGGGTGAAGTTTGAGATCGACTACATCTCTTTGGCAGACCCAGAGACGATGCAGGAAGTGGAAGAAGTCGATGAAGCCAAGGGAGCGATCCTCAGTGGTGCTGTGAAAATGCTCCCGGTTGAGGCGCCGCAACCTGATGAGGACCTCGGGTTATCTGGCGGACCTTCAGTGAGGTTGATAGATAACATCACCCTCAAGCCTGTAAAGTTATAATTGGAGAGGATCGATGCTGGACCAAAACGGTCTGAAATGATATTCACGAGTTTGAAACTAAACTCGACTCGGTGACACATCTGTTTTGCATTTCTCTGGGGTACAACGGAGGGTGAGTACCCATTCGCCTTTTTAAAATCTTAAAATGAGAACTTTATTCTATTCCGGCATCAGATAGAAGGTAACAGAGACCAATCTCGTTTGGAGATGTTCGCAAAGAGCCTCTCAACAATAAGTTGGAGTTCAGCCGGCAGCACTAACTCCATTGCGCCACATTTTCTGCAAGCGCTTTGATCCTCCAAGGCTGAGTCGGCATAAGTCCCCCCTCCCCCAACTTGCAACGGTGGGGTCCTCAGAGCACAGGCATTCTACCATATTAAAAACCCCCGGTCAAGAGCCCCCACAAGTACAAGCAAGTAATTAAGGGGGGAGTCCATACCCCCAACTCGTTCCCCCAAGAAGATCTCAACGCCAAGGATCCACCAGAGACATCGTTGAATCGTGTGGGACGGCTGGGAGTTCGGCACGGCTCCCGAGGAGCCACCCATCATTCGCCAATTTGGACGGCTTTCCTCCTTCCCCTTTCTCTCGAAAATCTTCGGATAAAGATGCCGAGCAGCGAAAAGAAAGGATTGCTTGGAAATTGTTAATACAGTATATATTGTCTGCGCCGGCACGGAAGGACGGCCCATTATCTATCCACAACTTCGCCACAGTTTTCATACCGTCTCAGACTAATTAATGTCAACCGTGCGAAACCTTCAACCGCAGAATCTACTGCAGCAACCAGCCACAGTGCAAAAACCCATCCGCCTTGCACCCCACCATCCCTCGCTCAGCCTTGTGTCGATCGCGTCATCCGCCCAGCCTCGTTACGTATAATCATCGCACTCGGTGCATTGACACCCCGCCAAGCCCGAACGGAACGTGAATAAATCAACCCTTTCCCCCCCATCCACCAAAACCCCAAAATTCCTCAATTGATCCTCCTCACCGCAATCCTCGTCCAAACAATGAAATACCCCAAACTACCATCCCTCTTCCAGTCCAGATCACGGACGGAAACCATGGGCTCGTCCCACTCCACCTCTTCCTCGACCTCACCCTCGTCGTCCTCGCCAAGCGCGAAAACGACGTCGTCGCTGCATCGACGCGACTGCCCGGTCAGCGCGAGAGTGCCGGTCCTCCCCATTACATGCATCCGCTCGGAAGAAGACCGCGGACGATCGCTCTCCCCCAGGAGGACGACCTCCACCGACGAGCGCGTGTCGAGCGAGCAACCGATCCGCGGCGGGTTCCCGTACTACGAGGAAGTGGGGAAAGGAGCTGAGCACGAAAGGAGATCAGGGGAGAAGAAGAGGAGGAGGAGATTTAGACGGAGTTTGGGCGCGCGATAACAAGTGCCAACTACCTACCTGTATATCGGGGAAATATTTGTTGGGGGGAAAGGCGTTTCATCACACGAAGGAGAGCACATTGGACCAGGAGTTTTTGAAGTATCCATACCATCAGGGAGATATTATTGTAATATTACATATCGATCCAGTCGAGCCCCGATAGTATTATTCTAATACTACCAGACCGCTAGATTCAGAGTTGAGATTTGTCTTTTCGCTTTGCGCCAGCCACCCCCCCGCTCAATCGTGAAATTAACTGGCCGTTACACCACGCTCTCTCCAGCCCAGCCAGCCAGCCATTTTGAAAACTCCGTTCCCGGAACGCCACAAGCTCGATGTTGGTACAACGCAACAGAGCAATTTTTTTAGGACTGTAAAAAGCAAAACATAAGAGATGGGTTGATCAGAAGACCAGCCCTGATACCCTGATTCCGCCGCTTTATTTTCGAAGTGTGCAAAGTGGCACGGGTATCAATGACAAAGGAAATATGCATGTAGTATGCTAATCGTCTATAAACAGTATCCGTCTTCGGGGCGGCAGAATGCAAAATAGACAATTAAAATCGGAATGGGGACATGCGAGAAACTTCCGATAGGATCAAAGGAGTTCTTAAATGGCGTTCTCAGCGTTGCCTCCACCCAATAATTCGAGGATCTTGTTGGCGACAGCTCCGGGGTATCCTCTGCTCAGCATTTCTTGAACGACACCTCGGGCACTATCCCTGTCTTCGACGGCGAGGTAGGCTCTGGTCATAGCTTCGTAGGTGCTTGGCTCTCGCTTCTCACGACTGACGGAAGAGAAGATGGTCTTGCTCTTTTCGATGTTCTTTTGGTTGGCCCAGCCATGGATGAGGGTATTGGCGATGTATGGTGTCATTTCAACACCTCGTCTGGACATCTCTTTGAGAACGGGCTCGGAATCGGTGACTTGGTGGTTGGCGACCATGGACTCGAAAAGTGCTTGGTAAAGGCAGGCCTGGGGTCGGATTGAGGGGTCAGCCATAACGGAGTCAAAAACGGCTTTTGCGCCCTCCATGTCGTGCATGACACAACCTTTAGCATGAATCAAGGACGAGTAGTGAACTGCCTCGGGGCGTTGGCCAGTGCTTCGAATGAGGTCGAGAACAGCTTCGGCAGCAGGCATATTGACAGGCTCGAGAGTTGCATGGGTGTCGACGAGGAGTTTGTAGGTATGGTTGGTTGGCTCGATACCCTTGCTCTTCATGCGCTCGTAGTAGGCCAGGACCTTGCTCTTGTCGCGCTTCGTGGTGAGGAAGAATTGCATCAAGCTGTTGTATGGAGCTGGGCGAGCCTTGTAGTTCGGCATCGACTCCATCTCCTCGAACAGCTCCTCGGCAAACTTCTCATCGCTAACGCGGCACAAAGCGTTGACGATGGTGCCATAAGTAACACTGGTTGGCCGGATACCAAGGCTTCTCATCTCAGCAAAGTAGAAAAGACAGTCATCGATGCGACGAGCCTTTCCAAGCTTGCCAATGAGAGCATTGTACAAGAAAGAAGAAGGCTCGACGCCCTCACTCTTGGCACGGTGGAAGATCTTGACAGCCTCGGTAGCTTCGTCAAAAGTCTTGGTCGACTCCTTCAACGTGGTGATGTATAGACCAAAGGTGTTTGCGGTTGGTGCGGCACCCATGTCAAGAAGCTCTTGGTGATACTGAGCTGCAAGACTACGCTTGTTGAGATTAAGGCATGCTCCAACCATAGCATCAAGAATCGAGACCCAGCCATAACGAACAACCGAATACTGAGGAAGCAGCGGAATGTCAGTTCGAGCCATTCCCAGGATGTCGTGGACCAGATTGATTCGCTCCTCTCGTGCAGCGGCGGAGATGAGCTTGGCGTAGGTAATATAACGTGGGTGACGACCAGCTCGGCGCATGTTTCTAAATCTACCGAGGGCCTCGTTGAGACGCGAAACCTTGTTTCGGCCACCAGTGCCTTTCTCAAGTTCCTCAGCAATGAGAGCAGAGCCCTTGAAGTCGGTGGAGGCTGCATAAGGATCAAAGGTGTCCTCGTACGTCGGTGCAGGCGCATATGAGACTGGAGTGAAGCTTTGTGGGTAGATTGGCGACTCTGGCATGACTTGACGAGGATCCGTGAGACCACGTGCTGTCATGAATCTGTTGATGAACTCTACACCTTCATCGACCTCATCGTTGACATGGGCATCAACTACAGTTGCTCGAATGCGTGCGAACATCTGCTCTGATTGATTGAGACCCTCGGCGACTTGTCCAGAACCGATCATGGCCACAGCGAACATCGCAGTAGGCTCAATGGATGCTGCGGAAACAGTCAGCTCGGGATTCGACAACATGTGCCAGAATCGCTGAGCGGCAGGAACGTCTCCCTCACGAACACTGAGGGCCAACATAGCCATAGCGGGGGTAGCGATGTCGCTAAAGTTGGATGGCACGTGAGCGAAGGCAGCAACTGCAGTAGCCTTGTCTCCCTTGTCGGCTGCAACCGTAGCTACTTTGCTCATCGAGATAGCCTTGGTAGAGCTTCCGAGGTTTTCGGCCCACTCGAGAGCTTGAGGAAGCATGCTACGTTCCAAGAAACCCTGGACAAGTCCATGACCGATGATGGCGTCTCTGAGAGTCTCTGCTGGATATGCCTGGATGATTCTGTTGTAGAACTGAATTGCACCCTCCAGTCGGTCAGCAGTGATGTATGCCTTCACTACGGTAGCGTAGATGTGTGCATCTTGTCGGTCGCTCAAGTCGAGCTTGCCTTGGTCGTTGGCCACAGCCAACTCCTTGTACTCATTGTAGCACTCAACTGCACTGCTTAAATCTCCGATTTGAGTGAAGCCCCTGATCATTGGTGCGAATGTAGCAGCCAATGGAACAATCTTGCTGGACTCCATGTGTTCATAAAGTCTAATCATCTCTGGAACTCGGCCAGCTTCGGAACAGGCTGAGATGAGCTGGTGATAGGTCTCTGGTGGGAAAGCACGATCCTTGCGGTAAGAAATTGAAGCCTCGAAGAGTCTCATTGCTAGATCAAGGCGATCATCCTCAGCAAGGATGGCAAATTCAAATTCGTTTGATGCGAACATGAATTTGCCAGGCTCCTCCATACCACCGAAGCGAACTCGCTTCTCCTCCAACGACTGTTTCAGCGAAGAAACCTCGAGGGATCGGGAAGATAACAAGTTGATAAGAGTCTTGTATGTGGCGGTGTTTGGGAGAACCTTGCGGCGAAGCATGTCAGAGTAGACATCAAGTGCCTTAGGGACAACCTGGATTCGCTCAGCTGGGAGGTGAATAGCTGCGTCGAGGAGAGCGTTGTATGCTGCTGCAACAGGTTGAATCCCAGCCACAAGCATGGCCTCGAAGACTGCTGGGATCTCAGCATATCGATGAGCTTCAGAGAGCTTGCTGAGATGGTCTGCATAGCTTTGAGATTGAAGCTCAGAAGCTGTGCTGACTGATGTGGCCGGGCTAGAGGGCAACTTCTCGAAGCCGGACTCTGTCGATGAAAGAGCAGGAGACTGGACAGCTGCAACTGGAGGTGTTGGAGCACGTGCCGCCACAACACTCAATTCTGCCTCGAAAATGGCTTGGTCTTCTCGGGACTTGATCTCCTTCTCAATGGCAGCATCGATCTTGGCGAGAGCAGCTTCCTCCTCGACCTGTCTTAATTCATCTACCGCGCTTGCACTGTATGCTCTCTCGAGGACCGGCTTGGGAGCCCCCTCAGCCGCCTGAGCTTCAACATGGCTCTGGCCCTCGTTGTCGACCTCAATCGACTGGGGCTTCCATTCAATGCGCTTGGCGAATTGAAATTGTGTCCATTCCTTTTCTGGTTCACCTGCTGCGTGTTGCTTCTTCCACGCCTCAAAATATGCATCTAAACCCCCATCACTCTTCTCAGGGCGGACCTGCTGGACAGTAGTCGAAGACTGAGCACTGCTGTGGAACGCATTTTGAAAGTGATAGTTCGGATAGTGACCGGCCTTGCTTGTTCGTCGACGAAGGCCGAATCCGGGTCTGTTGTTGGAAGCGTAGACTTGGGGATGGGTGGCGGCAACAAGGGATTGAGCGTAACCGTGCGTAAAGGTCTTGGGACCCTGACGAGCAAGAGTCGAGGCGAAGGAGGAGTAAATGGGCATTTAGTGATTGATGGACCTCTCAGGACGGGATGAGAGGAGACTGCAAGGGTGGATGTCAGCTGTGTGTGCAGATCGGGGAGACTCGAGTCCAACGCGACGAGGACACAGATCGGAGCCCAACTTACTGGGAATCTCAATTTAATAGCGATTGCAGGTTCATTTGACAGCCAGGCCGTCAAACAAACGCGCTAATTGGATTGAGTGGTGATTGAAAGGGGTGGGGGGTGTCGACTCGAGATCGACTGAGGTCCTCTGTTTACTTGCAAAAATTTGCTGGAGCTGTGGCGTGGGATGGTGAAAGGCAAGGCCTTAGGTCTTAACAGAAGTAACGGCCTCAGTAAGTGGCAGACTGGGGAATATCACTTCGTGTCCTCTACGCTAGGCTGCTTGGATGACGAGTTGAGTCGAGTCGGGATTGGTGAGCTTCACATGCGCGAGGTACCGTCGAGAATGGCAGAGGCTGAATGCTAGAGGTCAGCTGCGCGTCTGGCGAAGAAGGACCGGATGACGAAGGGATGGATCAAGGAAAGGAATTGGGCGAGAGAGTGTGGCAGAGCTGGAGCTGGAGTCGTGGGCGTAAAGGGGAGTTCGTAGTCGCAGGCGTCGCTGGAAGGGTAGAGAAATTCTCGGGATGAGCAACAGTCATCACGCGAAATAGTCGGAGCCGGGGGCGCCCGCTGAGTGGATCGCTTGTCGAATTTTACGCTTCTGCCTTTGACCCTCTCGGCTCCTGCAAAATGATGGCCTCCGAGAGGCTGGTTCAAGGCTCGTCCGCGGCGTCCGCGTCGGCCGGAAGCCGACAACTAGCCTTCACGCTCTTATCAGATCTCCGCCTCAGCACACAGGACACCTCTCCCTCGTGCGGAGACAGCAGTCGGCCCAAGTATCCACCCGGCTTATTCGCCCAAAGTCTCTACTTGCAGAGAGGCTACGAACTACGAGATGCATTAACGGCCAATGGTGGATTGACCAGTAGCCCTAATCTCAGTGGATTCGCGCGTGCCTGCGAAAGCCGAGGTTTTGCTTTTGGAACACACACTCGGAAAATTGAGGGAGGAACATTTATTGCAAAACCCTCTGATCCTCACTCCTCAGGCCGCTATGTCTACAGCTGTCTCTGCCCCGGGAAAAGTCTTCTTGGCAGGCGGCTATCTAGTCCTCGATCGCGCGTATACTGCTTTGGTGTTTGGCCTGAGTGCCCGCATTCACATTCTGGTGAACGATATCGAGACCGGCTCAGGAGTCGAGCTCTCGGAGATTGTCGTCCAAAGTCCGCAGTTCCGGGACGCGACGTGGAATTACGGGTACCATCTAGCTGAAGATCAAGGGGGGATTCAAGTTACTCAGTTGCAAGGGTAGGTGGACGTCTTTGATTGTCCGCAGTCCGTCAGCATTATCCCCGAGTCTACCCCTTTCTTTCCTCGGTCTTATCACGTGACGCGGTGTTTTGTGATTGCTCGGATTGAGCCTACCCCTATCTTTCTCGTCGCTTACTGTCCATAGTGCCTCGACGGCGAAGCTATCTCGCAATCCATTTGTCGAGACAGCCCTCACCTACGCCCTAACCTACATCTCTACCATCCTCCCCTCACCTCACATCAAACCTACAAGCATCACAATCCTCGCCGACAACGACTACTACTCGCAGCCCGCCAACACCCCAAAGAACGCCTCCCACCAATTCATCGACTTCGGTGTCCGTCTTCAAGATGCTCACAAGACCGGGCTCGGTTCCTCAGCAGCACTGGTGACATCCTTCACCGGCGCCCTCCTCAGTCACTACCTCCCTGAATCCCTCTTCTCCCTCTCCTCTGACTCTGGCCGTTCAATCCTGCACAACCTCTCTCAGGCCTCTCACTGCGCTGCGCAAGGGAAAGTAGGCTCTGGCTTCGATGTCGCAACAGCTGTCTACGGGACCTGCGTCTACCGTCGCTTCTCTCCCTCCATCTTGTCCGGTCTCGGCGATCCAGGCTCCTCAGGCTTCGCCACCCGCGTCAAAGCCATCGTGGAAGACACAGACGCAAGCATGAAATGGGATACCGAGATCTCCAAACGCGGCGTCACCATACCCCCTGGAATGGCGTTAGTGATGTGCGACGTCGACTGCGGTTCCGAGACGGTCGGTATGGTGAAGCAAGTCCTCACCTGGAAGAAAGCCGATCCCGAAGGCTCGAAGAAGCTTTGGGATGATCTGCAGGGTTGTAACGAGACGTTGGCGAAGAAGCTGACGGCCGGTGCGGAGATTGGAGAGTTTAGGAGGGCGTTTGGGGAGATTAGGGGGAGGATTCGGGAGATGGGTGACAGGAGTGGGGTGCCAATCGAGCCGAAGGAGCAGACGGAGTTGTTGGATGCTGTTACGGAGGGGGTGGAAGGAGTTGCCGGAGGAGTGGTTCCTGGGGCGGGCGGGTATGATGCTATTGTTTTGCTTGTCAAGGATGACAAAGAGACGATGTCTGCGATTGAGGAGTTTTTGGTGAAGTGGAGTAAGGAGAAGGGAAGCAATGTTAAATTGCTTGGTACGAGAGGTGAGTTGGAGGGAGCGAGGAAGGAGGATATGAGCAAGTATGAATCTCTGGTTAAATAGCAAGCTAAAGAATTCCTGGGCTGTGAATGCCCTGCTTTCTACTAGTACAATGAACCAGAAATTGCTTGCATCCGATCTCCGTTTCATCTCAAATTCCCAATTTGATTCAATCATCCGCAGACCCCAAAAAGGAGTTTAAGTGTACCAAGTTTGATGCAACACTAAGCGGATAGTGGTGGATAGGCTTGCCTCCTACCCAGCACATGGAAGAGCAATGACTGCAGACTAATGCGAGGTATAGAGGTATGAATTTAAGAGTTACGTATCACAAAATCTTCGTTGAGTGGGTTCCATAAAGCGACATCCTGAAATGTTGGAAGTAGATATATTCCTATAAGACGTTTCGTTGCAAATCGACTCAATGTCTCGACTTCTCTAGTACAGCGAGAGAGACTACCGTTAATACCATGTTAAATGAAAATCAGCCTTCTTCTCATCTCGTCTCCCTCGCGAGAGAGTTCTGGCCATTCCAGGAAACTCTCGACTATTCTTAAGCGAGGTTGGCTTCCATCTTAATCTCTTGAGTGAATACCTACATTAAGGTTTTGTAGAATTTCGCTTCAATGTTCCAAAGGGCCTGGTACGTTCGAGTGCTCCCAGATGCGTATTATTAAATTTAGAAATCAAGTATATCTTACACATCGCACAGTTTCCGGGGCCTTTGTACCAGAAGTAGCTTTCATCTGATAATATGGGAGGAGAGGAAATATAGGGATGTGCGATTTTATTGTACCGGCATCTCGTACAGTCTGTAGGAATTGAGACGAAAAGTGATTTTTCATCTAATAGTATGGGAGGAGAGAGAATACCGGGGGGAACGATGTTTTGTTGTATTTCGTCAAGTATCTTGGAAGTTTAGAAAAGAAGGTACTTTTCATCCGATGATATGGGAGGAGAGTGAATGCCGTGAAAGGTGGTTTGTTCCATATCGCACCAAAGTCCCAAGTTTTTCTGATACAATGAGATTGGGATAAGCTTTAGCTCAGATCTCACTATCCTGTACAATTCAGGACGTCTCAATGTTCATGGTTGGAATTTGAAAAGCCGGGGTGAGATTCAGTAGATATCCCACAGACTAACCTTCCCATCTTTACTACCTACGGCTAACCAATGCGTCGTCTTCGCCTTCTGCTCTCTCTCCTCCCTAACAGTCATCGGCCCCATCCTGCCCACCAATTCCTTCCCCTTATCCTCCTCTCCATCTTCTTTTTCTACTCCATCCAAATCCGCAAAAGCAACAGCATAACACCCCTCCTTATGCCACTTCAGCACAGCTAGCTCCTTCATCCCCTTCACCCCATAAACCCTCACCCTCCCATCCCATCCAGCAGTAGCGAACACTTTCATATCGTTCCTAATTCTCAATCCCTGCTGGCCAGAATGCTTAGTCTTGACAATCTTCAACGGCATACTCTCCTCCTTTGCCCCTCTATCCTTTTCATCGAACACCGGAATTAGATGTTTAGCAATAACAGCATCCGCGGAACTAGTAAAATAAAAGTCCTTTCCAGGGTCGACATCAAGCGAGAGGATAGGTTGCGAGTGCGGGTTGGAGACGTAGAGTGTGGTCCAGGAGGTGGTCAGGCAGGCGACGGAGGTATGGCCGCTTTCGTAGCCGGCGATGACGGTGAGGTGGTGCGTTAGGGGATGGAAGAAGAGGGAGAGGGCCATTATCATTCCGCCTTTGAAAGTGGGTGAGGCGGGGATGGTGTGGATTCTTTTGCTGGAGGGGAGGTGGAAGATGTCGACCTTAGGATTGTTAGATTGCGGCAAAGGGAAGGGAGGGGTGCGCGCAGGGAAAGGGAGGAGAGGAGGGAGTAAATAAAAAGAGAGGGGAGATAGACACACAGTTTCAGAGCTCAAGGTGTTTGGAACTGCTATTAGCAGCTCTTCAGATGGTTCATTTTCGAAAGAAAATGGTGGGCGGACTTCTGTTTGAGCAAACGAACAGAAGTTCATCGTGTTGACTTCCAGAATATGGAGAAGCCATGGCTGTTTTCGCGGTTCTGGTGGGGTATCCACTGGCAGAACGGTGCTCATAGAAGCTTCATCCTCCTCTGAAAGCTTCCATATTATGAGCTTGTTGTCTTTTCCATGTCTGCAACACAGGTCAGGCCCAGAATTGAAAGTCGCCAGAGAGAAAATAGCACACGGCGCATGAGCTCCGAGGACCGAATGAGGTTGACAAAGTGCATTCGTCTAGACAGGAGAACCGATAACAAGAGGTACTTTGTAATGTTTTCCCATAATAGAACCTTGCGAGTTGGCAAATCGATGACGGGGAGAGAAATATAGAGAAACCTCACTCACGTGATTAGCTTGTCACTCCCCCAAGCACTGGCTCCAAGGATCGATCCTTGATGGGCTTGCCACACGGCGACTGGCCGCTTGATGGTGAGGCTCCAGAGAACGATCCATCCGTCCGCATCCCCAGTCACGAGCCGACGATTGGATCGTATGAACGTCGTTGTGTGAATTTGTGAGCCATGACCACGCAGAATGTATGCTGGCTGCGCAGGCGGCAAAGCCATCGCCAAACGCGGCAGCTATAGGGAGATCCGCTGGTTTCGGGATGAAGATGGCCAGTTATGTCTTCCAGAGATCCGAAGTCGATGTTGTTAACCGCTTTGTCAGGTCGGTGCCATGAACGGTGATGCACGGGCGCGAGAATAGGGTTATTCTACCGCTTGGAGCGCCTTGTGCATTAAGTTCCATGCTAAATGCTATTCACATAAGCTCGCATGCTGGTTGGCGGTGTAATCGTATGACACGGCTAAAGACTCCTTGGACTTGAGAAGGATTGCAGTAATTATATATTTATATCTCGACTCTATTCATCCTTCAGCCCTTGGAGGACCCCGCCAACCACGTGATAGGCTACCGCATTCTCCTCCCATCTGCATCTGCAACCTAAATTTAAGATGTGCTCTATTAAGAGACGGGATCTGGCGTCTGGCGTTGTTGTGAATTCCCCGCCATGCATGATAGGCAGAGCACCCCCGGCCGATAGCTCTGACGGCTGGGCTGCAGGGTGATGGCAGACACAGGACGCAACACTGGAGTTTCGACACTTCACCACCTCCAGGCCCAGCCTCACACTTCACTTGGGCCCTCACCAGATAATTCTCCTAATCGGGGCGCATGTGCAGATTGCTGGTGGCTAGCAGCAGACGATGCTGCCTCCCGTCTTGCAAAGAACTCCTGGCCCGCTGCCCTCGACTTCTGTGATGCATCGGTGATCGACTCTGAGCCTGGTGTCGGGAAACACCCCATCCGAACCTCGTCCCTCACACACGGCGAACAGAGCCCTGTTTGACTTCTCGTGGCTGAGCAGCGCTCATCGCATCGAGAATAGATCGTCCCTGATGCCCTGCTTCGCTTTTCCCAGCCAATCGCCCGCATTTGCCGTGTTCAAGGCTTTGGAGGCTGCAGAGCTTTGCGGCAGGTCTCCGACATGTGGAGGTGACAGCCGTGAGAAGAGCAGAGCCCGGGTGACATCGACACCCAGTCCATACAGTACTCTACCGCGACAGAGTCTGATGTGCAGCTGCGCTCCGTGCCGGTAGTGGAGAGTGCTGGGAGACTGATCGGACCGGATGTCATATCATATCCCATCCCTGGGCCGCCAGATCTGATCCATCCTCTTCCAGGCCCGTCGGGGGAGCGAGCTGCTGCAAAGACTGGGGATAGATTAATTGATCTGGACGGCGGCGGGCCAGTTAGGGGAGCAGTTCCGTCAGAGGCGTAAAGCCCTTTGCAAGGTTGGCACTGCAGACGCGGGACAGGATCCAGAGCCCTTGTTCCCCTGATGAACCGAGGGGCGGCCTCTGCAAGAAATCCTAGGAATAATGCCAGGAAGAGAACATCATCCCTCCCGCTGATCAAGGGTTGAGGTGCTGGCAGCGGAACTGATCCTGTATTTGCATGTCGAGATTCGAGAGTCGAGACTCTCTCCTTCTTTGCAAACAATCCCTCTCCTCCTTGCAAACATCTCCTCTCCTCTCCTCTCCTCTCCTCTCCTCCCAAAGCTGCATCGCTAACGCCATCACTGGCGACCTGGCTTGTGAACTGAAGAGCTCATCTTTACGGTTCCGGAAGAGATTTGCTTTGCATGATTGCATTGGATGCTGTGTTCCACGGCAGTCGAACGTGCCTCCGCATCGCTGCGCTAGACCAGCCACCACTGCCACAGGCAATCCAAGCCGAACAGAGCGCCCGCCATATTCAACTCGGCACGAGCCCAGGGAGGACCTGTTGATCTTCGTCACTGCTTCAACGGCGGGCTCGACCTCTGCTCACGTCTGAATGCACACAACCACCAATTTGCGATCCAGAATACGCTGTGCTCCTCACATTCTTTCCCGCCTATAACAAAACAATTGCCCCGAGTCCCTCGTTCTTGGCCGCAGCAAGTTTCAGTCCTTTCGAGTCCCATCCTCGTAGCGTTCGGATCGCCCACCCTCCGCAGCCTGCTCCTCCAGAGCCAAGGTCGAATTGTGCCTTTCCTCGATTTTTCTGCTATTGTCCCTGCTCGCAGGCTTCATCGTGTTGACGCTCGAGGCTTGCATGCAAATGTCATTGGGAAGCCAAACCATTCTCCCAGGACACCACTGCGAGCAATCGCAGAGTCTTCACCGTGGCGGCGTACGATAACCAAAGCTACCTCGCACCTGGATTTGATCTGGACTATCCATACCAGTCGCCGCCGTTGTACTCGGCGTCGACTGCCTCGGATCTCACACTAGTGGGCGAGCAGCAACAATTCAACCCCTCGAACTATCACGTCAGCGATATCAGTCCCCCACCAGCCAAGAGACAGCGAATTGCTGCCCCAGCCAAGCCTATAAAGCAGATACCAAAGAATCCTACGCAGATGCCGGCCACAGAGGGTGCACCTGATGCTGCAGATGGAGCTGCTGCTGCGGCAAGCAAGCCGAAACGCGTACGGACTGGCTGTTTGACTTGCAGAGAACGCCACTTGAAGTGTGATGAAGGTCTGCCAAACTGCCAAAATTGTCGAAAGTCAAGTCGAGTTTGTAAGAGGGGCGTACGTCTGAACTTTATTGATACGACTGTTAAGAACCCGCCAATAATTCCACCGACAGCAGACTGGAACGGTAGAGAAGCATACATTGTTCCAAATCCTTCACCTCTGTACTAACTTTATTGTAGTAAATTTTCAAGATGAGTCTCGAGAGATTGCGTCCGAATATCGAGGCGGCCTGCAGCGGTATGCCCACCTCGACCAGATTATAACACCCCCTCGAGAGACCCCGTTAGAATTCGCCGTACGGCCCATGGCCCACGATCCACTCATGCCTGAAAATAGCAACTCGTTGCCTCCTATACAATCCAGCGGGCCATACTCAGATCACGGAATGGGAGCCAAGAGCGAACACCTCCATTCAAGACAAGACGGTCGTCACCATTCGCACACTGGTAGTGATGGATCCTTCCTAACCGCACCTCCTACGTCTTATAGCAACCCCGAACAAGCCCTGGCTCTACCCCCAACTCCACCGAGCGAGAGACCCCAATACCTGACGTCTGCTGAAGAAGTCTTGTTTATGCAAGTTTTTGTGGAAGAAGTGGGATTGTGGATGGACAGTATGGATCCTCACAAGCATTTCTCCAGGTTGCTACCATTCCACTCTCTGCATGAGCCAATGCTGCTCAACGCCTTCCTGGCCTGTGGAGCTCGTCACTTGACACTAGTCAACCCGATGTATCACGAGGACAAAGCGTTGTATTACTACGATACGGCAACCACCCAATTGTTACGCTCGCTACAAAATCCCGACCGAGACACTGTTGTTTGTGCGACCACGGCGGTCATTCTCAACGTGTACGAGATTATGTCAGAGAGAGCAATGCAACGTATGAATCACATTGCAGGTGCTCGGGCTTTGATCAAAGAGTGCGGCTGGAATGCGAAGAGTACAGGAATAGGGGCTGCTTGCTTTTGGTTGAATGTTGGGATGGAGCTGTTGAGCTGTCTCCATTTCAATTGGCAAGTTGCATGGGATCCTGACCAGTGGGGACTTGATATGGACTTCCACCAAGAGTCGGAAACTGGGAAAGAGGAGTTATGGGTTTATCGAATCCTGTATATTGTGGGAAAGATTGCCAATTTCCGGGCTTCGATTCCACGATTCCAGGAGGCTTCTCCCCACGACGAACAGATTCGGCTTCAATCCAGGTTCCAGGAGTGGCAGAGATTGAAAAACTTGTGTGACAGCTGGAATGACAGGATTCCGAGGACTATGCATCCACTAGGGTATCTGCATCCTTCTCAGACTAGCTCGAAGTCCGCCTTCCCAGAAGTTTGGTGAGTAGATTCGGTCTCTTTGTGACGCAAACGTGCTAATGAAACCAGGCTCATAAAACGTGCCACAATTACTGGCCGGCTGTTTTATCATACTTCGATGTGTCTCCTGGCACAGATTCACCCTCTTTTGTCCAAGGATAGTGAAGAGTTGAGCAGCATGTACTTGCACCATGCTCATATGGTTTGTGGAATCACCGCACATGTCAAGGATCGAGGAGTCGCCAGCGTTGCGATTCGATCTCTGGCAATCGCTGGAGATGGCCTTGTCGACCGACGGGAGCAGGAAGAGATTCTGGAGATTTTCAATAAGATCCAGAAGGAAACAGGTTGGAGGATTGCAGCCCTGACGAAGGAGCTGAAGTCGAAATGGCGCTGGGCAGATGATGTTCAACCCCAGAGGATGGCTCCGCAGAATTCCCTCGCCCAGTTCTTCCCGACGACAACCCAAGCGCCTGCTACGAATCTTCCTCCGGCGCCACCTCAGCCTCGGACCGTTCCTAGCGGCATTTTGAATCCGATCCTGTCCAAGGCCGATTTTTCACTGCCAAATCACCCGTATCAGAGCCATTATCAGCCGCCAAACCAGCAACATCATCACTCTAGCCACATTAACTTCATGTGATCTTGCTGGAAGTGCCGATGATCTTGGTTTGGGTGGTGCTACTTTGATGGATTTTGCTAGTATGCAAAACAATGACGAGATATGGACTTCATTACAAATTCGAAATATGGGTGGAGATTTACAACGATATGGAGTTACTGTTTTACGGGAGGCACTTTAACGACTAAACGATTTTAGGGTTTTATTGGTATGCATGCAAGCATGGTGTTGGGGCCACATTTTATGACATTCTGTGCAATTGTAGAGTCTTCAGGCTGGTACGAAGAAGCTATGCTTACTATTAGGTAGCGCTTAGCACAGCTACACAAACCAATAATGTATTGTCTATGAAACAACCTTATTGACCTTGGCTAAACTTGAAAGTCTGTTCGAAGAAGCAAGTAGAGGTTTCTAAAGCTGAGATGTGATGGGAGGGCGTTGCGGTGGCGGAGTAGCTTGAGACAAACGCCACCAATCACACCAAGGTGCTTGTCGTAGCAAAAGAAACATCTGGGAGTTACCCCATTGGTTGACAAGCAGCCAGGCGAGGTTGTTTTGACCTAGTCTTCCAGGTCCCGAGTCACAGATATTACTTTCCCCACCCGGCTTTCAGACCTGGCTTTTCGTATTCGTCTTCGGAATGGGAACTTCTTGTAATAAGGTTAGAATTAAACTTCTGTCACAATGCTTCTCTCCTTACCAGCTCGAAATTTTCTTTGTAACAGATAGCACGAGCTTCTCCCAAGCCTCGGGGTGATATAGCATCCTGGTTTTCGTTCTCTTCCTAACTCGAACACTCAAAGATCTGGCAAGAAGTGCGGCTTGAACTTCTTGTTCGCCCTATCCGCCGCCCGATGCTGGAATTGGTCGCCATGTAACTCGAACACCAAATCCTTGGGTTTCTTTTCCCCATCGGTCTTCAACTCTGTCTCTTTTCTCTCCTCCACACCATCCGTCGTCTTTCCCGGAAAAGGGACCCTAAACCTGAAGATCGTATGCTCTTTCGGCAGAACTTTGACAACATCTTTCTTGGTGACAACCTCAAATGCAAATCTCGAGTCCTTGACCACAATCCCCTTCACACCCACCCTGGACACACACCTACTCCTCACAACCTCGAACTCCGCACCATGGAAATCCGCAGAGCACAACTTCGCCGCCTCTGTATTCGAGACCATCCCCCCTTCCTGGCTCAACCCTAAAACCTCCTGTATATACCCAATCCACATCCGATTCAACGGCTCATAGATCTCGTATTTCTGCTCTGACTTTGGAATATCATAGAGCATTAGCGCGCGCTTCTGTCGTGCGGAGAGAGGAGCAGGTTTGTTCTTCTTCTTGAGCTTTTGGAGCTTGAGGTGTCGTGCCTGGCGTCGAGCTTGTTGTGCGGTGTCGGGCTCGGTGGGCTTGAGGTGGAGGGGTCGTTTGCGGATTTTCTCGTGGTAGATGCGCCCTGCTGTCTCCGGGGAATGCGCTCTTGAAAGTAGGGATAGGACAAGATTGTCTTTTTTAGAGACAATATCCGCCTGGGTTTTACGTGAGGGTGTCGTGGCCATTTTGGAGAGCTTGGAGCTCGTATGGTGGGGTTGAAAAGAGATTGAGGGAGGTTGTCACATGGAAAATAAGCTTTCCGACTAGCCCCCCAATGTGGGAATGCCGAAGGCTTCCCCCTGTAAACCACACCCCCGGATTCCTGCTTGCTCAACATGAAAACGAAAACAGCCCATCTTCCCGACTGCGGCCATGATTTTGTTATGAGGCTTATTTGTCCGTCTGTTCGTGCTACACAACACAATTGAAAATCTGCAGACATGGCTGATCCGCGGGACTCGTCGCCGCGTACCTCGGCGCCGGATTTAGAGATCCTGGGGGATCAGGTTACGCTTCACCCGAGTGGATATGTTGAGCCTCCGGCAAGGACGCAGGATGGCGACAAGGAGAGGAACCTGGTGGAGCATATGGCGAGGTTCAGGTCGAGTCCTTTGGAGTATGTTCCGTCGAGTGAAACTTGTAGGTTGAGAACGTGACGCTAACCCCGCACAGGTTTCTGAGAGAGGTATCACTCCACGTCTCTGGCACAGGATGGCGGGCCTACGACCATTTTATCGGACAACCGATCTTCTATTCTGGATTCTCGGAGAATATGACGGCGGCGGTGCTCTCTACACCTATCCTGCAGAAACGAATCACTGAATTGGCGGAGAAGAGGATTGCTGTGGAGGAGAAGGATGGACTGTTGAATAAGGATGATCCTTCGTATGCTGCTAAGCGGTACCAGAGGAAGACGGTTATTGAGCAGAGTCTTAATGAGTTGTGTGAAAAGTTGACGGGGGATATGATTTGCAAGATGGAGAGCAAGCCGTTTATCCGGAGTGCGTACTATTTATGTACGCAGCTCTTGACCAGGGCATATCACCAAGGTATATTCTCCGATATTTAATGTTCTCGTGAAGGTATTAATGTGTTGCAGGCATTCATGTGTCCAGTGAAGAAGTTCTGCGACTACGAACGGTGGCGGAGAAGGCAGAGAAGAACAAGCAAAGCATAATCTTCTTGCCTTGCCATCGTTCACACGTAGACTACGTTTCGTTGCAAATAATCTGCTATAGGCTAGGTCTAGCGCTGCCTACGGTCGTGGCAGGAGATAATCTTAATTTCCCGGTCGTAGGAAGCTTCTTACAGCACGCTGGTAAGTTCTTCTCTTTTTATTTCTACGCATGGCGTTAATTCTTCAGGCGCTATGTGGATTCGTCGCAGCTTCGGTGATGACATTCTTTATACCACGCTTGTACAATCCTACATCGACACACTCTTGCAGGGTGGCTTCAATTTCGAGTGTTTCATTGAAGGAGGACGATCGAGAACAGGGAAACTCCTCCCTCCAAAATTCGGAATCCTAAGCTTCATTCTGGACAGCATACTGTCTGGAAGAGTCGAAGACACAATCATCTGCCCTGTCAGCACCCAATATGACAAAGTCATTGAGACGGAAGGCTACGTTGGCGAATTGCTCGGGGTCCCGAAAAAGAAAGAGAATTTGGCCGACTTCTTGTCTGCATCCTCGGTTCTGTCTTTGAAACTTGGCCGAGTGGATGTGAGATTCCATGAACCTTGGAGTTTGCGGCAATTCATTCAAGACCAACAAGCTAGAACAGGAATACCGAAGAGTATCGACATGAAGAGTGTTAATGATCCAGCTACGAGGCAAAAGTTGCTGCGCACTCTTGGGTACAAAATGCTCTCTGATATCAATGCGGTATCCGTCGTTATGCCCACTGCTCTGATTGGAACTGTTCTTTTGACTTTGAGAGGCAGAGGTGTCGGAAAAGCGGAGCTGGTACGGCGAGTTGAATGGCTGAGCGATCGTGTCAGATCAAAAGGTGGCCGAGTTGCTCATTTTGGAAATGCACCGACTTCAGTAGTCATCGAACGTGGCCTCGATGTTCTCGGCAAAGATCTTGTCGGACTCGTCGAAGGTCTACCAGAGCCTACCTATTATGCAGTTGACCGGTTTCAGCTGTCATTCTACCGCAATATGACGATACATCTGTTTATTTCGGAGGCGTTGGTCAGTGCAAGCATGTACCTGAGGGTCAAGCGCGGAGGTGGGCCTGACAACCAAAGAATCTCATATGAGGAGCTCCGCGAACAAGTTCTATTTCTATCTCAACTGTTCCGAGGGGAATTTATATATCCAACCGAAGGGCTCGCGGCCAATCTGGACAATACTCTTAAAGGTCTCGAGGCAGACAAGGTCATCGAGTTGACTCGAGACAACGAAGGCAAGGTCACAGGAGTAGGACTCGCGGAGGAAGAACGAGTTGCAGGTCGCGAGAATTATGACTTCTACTGCTTCCTGATATGGCCATTCATTGAAGCCAGTTGGCTTGGTGCAGTATCACTGATGGGATTTTCACCACCATTAGCTTATAAGGGAGACGGGTGGCTGGACTCCGCGAAGTGTCAAAGCAGTTCCCAGTTGGTAAGTGTTCGTTCGACATCCTAAATTTAAAAGTGTCTAATCCTTGTAGCTCGGCAAAACTCTGTACCATCAGGGCGATTTATCGTATTTCGAAGCAGTCAACAAAGAAACACTTAAGAATGCATGGGCAAGATTTGAAGACGAGGGGATCGTTGTGGTGGCCAAGAGCAGAAACGCAAAGATCCTACCTCGAGCTAAATTAGCACCGGATTGGACGCCTCAGCGCAACCCGCAAAGTGGAGCCATCGTGCCCGAGGGTAAATTATGGGATTTCATTGAGAGGATAGCACAATCTCGGAGAGAAGGAAAGAATAGAAGAGATGGCGCTACAGTCTCAACTAGAGTTTTACGGCATACCGAGACAATTGCGCAGAATCTTTTCATGAATACAACGGGGGAGACAAATATGTCTGAAGAGGACAAGCTTCTGTTGAAAAAGAAGCAGAAAAGGAGACAAGCGTTGAAAGCAAGGGCGCATTTGTGAATATGTATTATACCAGAGCATTTGTACACGGATTTGTGAGATAAGAGAGAGCAATCTGTACCACATCATGAATCAAAAATGCCTCGATGAGATTAAGGTGCTGATTACTCTATAGGGGTTATAGTCTAAGGCCTATTATATGTCGACCGTTCTATTCAACCACCATACCATACTTCTCATATGGAAAATCTTCTAGACTCTGCATATAATCTGCCCACCCATCGTCAATCTCTCCTAGCTGATGCATATCTTCAGGCCCTCCCTCTCCCGTCCTGCCTGCCAGCACCTCTCCCTGCCTTCCATCGTACTCTTTATGCAATTCCGGATGTGGGACCCATGCAACTCTCATACCAGCTCTCCGTCCAGCTTCCACCCCCGGAACACTGTCCTCAAATACCAAACACTCTTCAGGCGTGATTTCCTCCTCTCCGGGCTCCAAACTTGCGTTGATGGTCTGCAGAGCAATCAAGTAAATATCCGGCGCCGGCTTTCCCTTTCCTTTAGGTACCCTCTCATCATCCCCAAGCACTCTCCTATGCCCCTCAAAGACACAGAACAACTCCTCCAAATGCGCGGTCTTTAGCTTAAAGTTCGTAGCAGTGCTACTAGTAGCCAACGCAATGTGGACCTTCTCCCCCTTCCCAGTTCTCGCTACAGTCAAGTCCCCCAGCAATTTCTCAACTCCAGGAAGCGGTTTGCATGTGGGGAAGTGCTCCTTTTGCAGAGAGATGAGTTCGGATTGGTATTGCTCGAAGGAGATAGGAAGCTGTGCCCATTCCCAGAGGATGGCGCCTGAGGTGGGGCCGGGACGGCCTTGCAATTGTGCTTTGATGGACCAGGGGAGAGTGCCGCGTCCGTATTTTGCGAGGATAGCGTTCGTACAGATGGTATATTTGTCTTCAGAGTCCAGGAGGAGACCGTCCATGTCGAAGAGACATGCCCGGACTGGGGGGAAGCTGAGGCATTTGTTAACTGATTACTGGATGCGAAAACGGCCGGACTTACTCTGTCCTGCGCAAGGACATCTTTGTAACTTGCAGCCTTGCAGGAGGTGAGGCGTGAGAAGCGAGGGGTAGAAAGAGAACCTGGAGTCGTACAAAATCCTTTTGCGAGGGGTCCAGCGGATTCATTCCGCGCCAACGTTCCCAGTGCTGGCGAACGTCACTCTGCCAAATACATCATGACGACGAGGACAGAGAGATTCCAGCGCAAGCCGAAGGGGAAGCAAGATGAGGTCCCAGAGGAACCGGAGGAGGTGATCAGATTTCCTCCAGAGAAGGAAGCGGTGCGTCATCCGTATCCTGCCTTTGCACCGAGCTTACAAGTTTGCAGTCCCTCCTTCAAGAGTCAAACGCGCAGAAGGCAACAGCAAACGAGCTGTTTGCCAAGGCTTCATTTCAAGATGCCATAGAAACGTACGATAAAGCTTTGTCGACGTGTCCGAATTACCTGGATTACGAGATTGCGGTGCTGAGGAGCAATATTGCGGCATGTCATTTGAAGCTTGAGGATTGGAAGGAGGCGGTCAAGGCAGCTACTGCGGCACTGGATGGCTTGGACAAGCTACAAGGGAGGACGGCAAAGATGAAGGAGGTAGATGAAGAGGGGTTGAAGGCTGTAGAGGAGGTGGATGAGGAGATCATTTCTGACGGGGCTACGAAAGCTGAGGATACTTCGGACATGGGCAAACGAGAAGCTGATATTGAGAGGATACGATGCAAAGCTCTGATGAGGAGAGCAAGGGCGAGGAGTGAGCTGGGCGGGTGGTCAAGCTTGCAAGCTGCTGAAGAAGGTAACGCTGCTGGGCGCTGTTGGTCGACCAGGCTGACTGTTATAGATTACAAGACTCTCTCTCGGATGCCAAATTTGCCGTCGGGAGATAGAAAGATTGTTCAGCAGCAGTTGGGCCAACTCCCGCCAAGAACGAAGGCAGCCCAGGAGAAGGAGATGGGCGATATGATGGGCAAGTTGAAGGAGGTAAGTAGTGGGAATTCCGTCATGATGGCCGAAGACTGACACTTAATAGCTTGGTAATGGTATTCTAAAGCCTTTTGGCCTGTCTACAGATAATTTCCAGATGGTCAAGGACGAAAAGACGGGAGGGTACAGCATGAACTTCAACCAAGGAGGCGGAGGGAGCAAATGAAACCCCGGTTGCCATCTCATCATTCTCAATGCTCACGAAGATCAATCGACAGGAACCTTCAACACAGTTATCGGGTTCTGAGTAGTGATCGCTTGACAGACTGCTCCTTTCTCGAGCATCGTCGGGCTGGTTTCTCCTGCCTGCATTGCAACGTCCTTTCCCCAACTTGCGCAGTTGCGACTTCCTTCTTTCGGACCCCCGCACAATTCAAATTGAATTAATTCCCAACACGTTCTTTTCCCTTATTTTCCCTTTCACTTCATCCACCTTGACTTACATTCTCACAAAACTCTTCTTCTCAACCACTCATCGGACAGACATCACCTCTCCACCCCTAGTCACCATCGGCTTCGCATAGTCTCGAGCTCATAAACACCAACTTCACTCCCTACACCTCAATCTTCTCAATCTTCTGTGGCATGCACACACTCTTTGAGTGGTCTCTTCTCCGCAAGGAGGTTTTGCTGTCCACATAAAGAAGTGTCGAATGAGCGAGCTCTGGTTTGTTATGAACACCTGGCTAGTATTGAATACTCGCAGCACTCCGAAAGATACAGGGCCGACAGGATGTGACGTGCGAGAAACTGTTCTGCAACTGCTCTGAGTGTGTCTGGCATTTCGGAGGCACTTTCCTAGTCTTTTCAGGAACATTTATTTTCTTTGTCCAGGACCGTCGTTCAACAGCACAATGGTCCATATCCAATCTCCTACCGTGGTACTCCCCAAAGTTTGATCTCAATCCCAATCCATCTTCCCACTTCTATTCTAATGTCAACCACACACTCAGTTTAGGTCATGTCCCACAACTCTTCGAACACTCAATCTCAGCCCAAATTTTCAACCCCTATTCAGACTTCCTTGACGCAACTCGGTATCTCACATCTCCTCGGGTTTATACCTCCGTCCCAACTCGATATCCCAAAGATGCTGGAACATCGACCGCGATCTCATCTCAATGTGCCTCCTTTCCACTTTTCCGTCGACTTCAAGCTTCAGACTATTGGTCAGGCTTCTGCTGCTCAACGCCGAAGATACCCGGCGTATGGCCTACCGATTGCACATCATCTTCCTTCGCAAGAATCTGTCTACGTCAGATCTCTCGTCGAAGAGTGCCACCTTGTTTTCCACTTCCCCCATTGTAATCACGTGACAAGCCCTTGTTTGCAAGTCGCCTTTCGTTGAAGCAGTTAGATCTCCTCGGCCACCAATACCCCCCACATGCTAAACATTCGATAGATTTCTCGCCTCGACTTCGGAGCGGGATCGTCAAAAAGGAGGGGCAATCACCCCGCGCTAAGCGACAGCCATCGGCCAATCCTTGACCACGAGGCCAACACGCTACTCAAGATGCCTCATCCATTTATCAACGTGTTCAAAGACGAGACACAACGGACAATCACAGTCTCAATTAGTCAGACCTTTTGCTAAGTATCCATCGGTCATGCCAGCCAATGAGTGCCTCTCAATTGCCACACACGAACCCACGATAGCCGCCAATCCGCAACTGACTGGGGCAGTGTTACCTCGTGATGTACAATCTCACCCCGCCACGGGCGCTTCAACGCTTTCTTCCCCACACGTGTTACGGACCAAGAACGGATAGGAACGGAACCAAATTAGATGCCGTCTTTAGAGTACCAATCTTCTCCCCTGTGATAGGATGTCGGGATATTGTAGGAAATGCACGGATTACCCATTCGGGCCTTTCGACACTGATATATAAGAACGACCCCCACTACCCCGCAACAGGCTGAATATTCACAGTGGGAGGTCTTTAACAGATTTCTTGCGATCATCCTTTCTGTGTCGATTATTTAAGTGTGGGCGAGTACCTTTCAATTGCCAATCCGGCTGCCTTGTTCTTGCAAATCGGGTTAGCTGGTACCATATTTCGTTCTCGACTGGCAGGACCCTTATAAATCCGCTTGCCCACCACACTGTCCCACCTTCAATTACAACAGCGCACAAGTTTTCCACGGCACTTCAACAGTGAACAGTCAAGGCCTCAGCAATCAGCCTTCCAACAAATGACAATCGACAATCTACTACCAAAATCCAAAATGGCAGTCCTCGCGGCATCCACGAATCCAACGACGGTTCTCACAACTCAAAACACAAAAACTCTCCTTGCCCTCCTCTCGCCAGCGTTCGCAAACTCGCTGTACCTCGCAACAATCCTCCAACGACTCCTGAGCACCACAACACTATTCCTGCTCTTCAGAAGCTACCTGCTCTCAATTTTCCTCCTACAGCAGTCATACCACGCCTCCCAAATCCTTCTTATTCAGAGTCTGTATGCCTCGTCAATCGCATGTCAGAATGCCTACTGGGCTTCGAAAAAGGGAACGAGACTATTGTGGAGGAGTACGGAGGGAATGAGGAAGAAATTGTTCATGGAATTCATGATATTCGTACTTGGGGGAGGAAATCAACTTATTTTGGTATTATTCTGGCCTGGGTGGATCATAGTTGGTGGGGGAATCTGGGGAGTTTGGAGTCTCTGTGGTTGAAGAATGTCTGAAAAAGAAATAAAGAGTCAAACAAACACGGTATGCTCTAATCCTCCTGATTTTTGGGGGTATCTAGCTAATGGCCTCCTAGAACCATTCGATCTATCGGAAAACAAGGTCTATACCGTCTAGAAGGGATTGCGCCAACAACTCTATGAGAAGAAAAAGGCGTTCCCCCCAAGATCCCTCTTTACTTCCATCTGGTAGTCCTTCTCTGGATCGAATTCTTGCCAAACGCTAGCGGGGAAGATATGCTTGTTTCGTTCGTACCATCGGCGATCAACGACTTTCGTAAACGTTGGATCATCGTTCAGGCCTTCCAAGTCTGGTTTGGGATCATCATCGGTAACTTTTGGTTTTGCGGATGGAACAGATAGAGGGTTGTAGTTGTCAAGATTTCCTGGTTCTGATATACCTGGAGCGGTAGAAGTAGCAGGGGGTTTCGAAGCATAATCAAAGAGAATGCGGTTGTTGGGACCGAGGGTGTGGTTTATGATGAAGTAGTAGAAGTCGTAATGCTGCAAGGATATTAGCATGAGATCAAACGCCGGAATGAATAGGAACTCACATGAGGTATAATGAGACTCCCTCTAACCATCATCAAATCGTCCACTCCAATTCGAGCCCACTCCCTCCTGCTGTTGGCCTTCTCACCCACTCCCAAATCCGCGCCAACTTTTCGACTCCTATCCAAGAACACCCAGATGAAATCCCCCTTCTTCACTCTGCACACTCCACCCGGTATATTCGTGCCATCGTAGAACACAAACGGGATACTGATCTCCGTCGCCTTAACCGCCTCCTGCAGCACCATAAACTCCTTCCGCAAACTCTCCCTCGTCTGCGCCTCCCTTAGCAGCGCCGACTTCGTCAACGCCTTCGGCACAACGCCCACACCAGCATTGACCCCCATCTTCTTCTTTCCAGCGCCAGCTCCTCCTTCGACAGGCGTCGTTCCTCGCGGCGAAGCGCTGCTCGATTTCGTTGGCTGAGGAGAAGCGCCGCCATCTTCTTCCTCATCACCAACTCCAAACGATAGCTTCGGTGTCCCGACCATGCGCTTCTTCTTCTTCACCACATTGGGTTCCGTGGGTGTAGACGCACTGTGCTAGGGCCATTAGTCCTGTCTCTCTCCCCCATTCCCCTCCCCCTGCCTTCCATATAGAGTAGAATGTAGAACTCACCCGTCAGTAGGTGTCACCGTGCCTGGTGTGCCACGACCGCTTCCTCCCCCACCATTGAGCAATTCTTGAGCATCGCGTTCTTTGGCTTCGAGTGCCTCGGCGCGTCGTTTGCGGAAGTCCGAGAGGGCTACGAGCCCGACCGTTTGTGTGCTGAGCAGGTCTTCGGCGGTTTTTGCTTGGGGTGTGAAGCGTGGGTTGGGTGTTGAGGCGCCGGACGGCGGTCTGGAGGCCATGGTTGATTGAGGGTCGGCTGCGCGTGTGCGGAGGGGAGGGGAGGTCGAGGGTTTTGGAGGTTGTGGTCGAGGCTGGGGGAGAAATGAAGAAAAGTGGCGTACCAAGAAGTGGCTGGACAGGGATGCCTGGCGGGGTGTGAAGGTGGAGAAAGGGGCTGAAAGGTTGGCGCGTTTTGATTCGATGGGCGAGACGACAGCTCTTCTCCCCCCTGCGATGAAAAACTTGCCCTCAACTCAACAGGTATTATCAAGCTTCAATACGTACACAGCTGAATGCTGAGCTAAAATATCTGAAGATCAGTTGCTTTTCCTTGTGGATGATACAGTGCAAGTGCAGGGAACGTTCGAACCCGAAGACTCCACAACCACGACGGGTACTACTCCCAAGAACACAACACGTATGAGATATGTACAAGACACGAGGACCAACAAAAGTTAAATACAGCTTCGGAGCAATGACTTCTATCCACATAATTTTCGTCGACGTCGCCGTCATCTTTTTGCTGACTTACGCTCCAGGAACCTCCTCAAACCTCCAACATAAACAGGCATGGCGAGTTTCCATCATGGCAGATATCGTACTTTTCCCAGAGCGTCGTTTATCAATATTACCCAGACCTTTGCATTCACGAATCAAAAGTTGCAATGTAATAATGCAGGATTCCTCAGACGTATCCTTTCTTCCCCTTTGCGAGCATCGTGAGTCTTCTCATTTATGCACAGACCTTCAAGCCGAGACCCTTTGCATGTGTAAATCATGGATGGGCATCGTGTAGATGAGCGGAGGCAGAAGAAGGAGGAGTAATCGTAGAGGATCATTAATAAGGGAAAATCTCTTCGTGTGACGCTGTGCGAGCGTTCGAATGAAGCGTCGCTTTTACAGCGTATCGACAGTTGACTCAATCTTGACCCTATGCTCCAGACAGTATAGGTTGACAGCCTGCACCACGAGGAGGTGTTGAGTCGTCGCAAGCCGAAAAACAAAACATACAGTTTCGGTCAACATAAGTTGAGCCGCACTTGCTATGTAGAGAAGATACCTTAGATCTTGAATTTATGAACTCTTTCTAGTCCAATTTTATAGTGTATGATCATAGCCATCCCATATATCGTAGAAAGCGTTCCCATTTGGACCGTCTGCTCCGTATTGGACATCAGACATATCGGAATCCGAAGATGGCCCCCATTGAAAGCCCTCTGGAGGAACCCAATCTTCGTCGAACAACGGCGGATCAAGATTCTGACCTCCTTTCATTGGCCCAATGCTAGGCTGGGCAGGAGCATCTTCAGCCGCCCTACGCCGATGCCTGGAGAGCGGATTGAAGAAGGCCTTACGCTCGCAGAATTTCGCGAAGTGGAAAGCAGGAATATCTTTAGACCATAGATTCTCATCTACCCCACTCAAAGCGTGTCCATCGACTACGCGACGAATTTCTGCCTCATAGTGTTCCTTGGTGATTCGCTCTGACGTAGGAAACTCTTCGTCCTGTGCAGCATAAAGTCCAACAGAATCAATATTGTGTATGACTGATGGAACGTCTTTCAGAAATGCACAACTCCGTTCCTCGTCCCATTTCAAGTCATTATCTTGGGGGCTTAGAATATCTGTAATTCTGGTTGTATTTGTAATGAAGAATATATCCTTGCGGTCACTGGTATGCTTGAGATCATGTAAAGCTCGAATCACCCTAATGCGATCCCTATCCTCTTCATTTTCATGGCAGCAGACCTTCGTTTGCATACTCAAGTCGACTGCGACCCGTTCCATGGCCCAGCACTGCCCGAGAAGATCATTCATCGTCTCTGTGCAACTATTTTGTCCAAAGTAGATGACGTCAACAGGTGGGTTGAAATATATCCTGTCAAAAGAGAGGAGATATATTGGCATCAACTTGTATGCATCGAGTGCCTCTTCTCGGGACTCGCGACAGATGTGTAAGATGACTGGTGGCTCTCGAGAGTGGTGAGATACCATGTATTTACCATCGTCCATAGATGCATCCCCGTCTTCTATGTGAAAGGGGAAGGGATTCCAGGCGCCGCCGGGCTTGGCCTCGATCTCTATGATTCGAGGTTGCAACAGCAGAACTCGCCATATCATCAGGCAGATCTCCGTGGGGAGTCCCCCAAAACCTAATGCTGGGGAGTTGTCCGTAGGAGCCGCCAGAGACGTGGCGTTTTGATCGCCATTGGTCTGTGGAGCCCCAGCGTCGAGGGTAAGACCAGACAAGCCTGCGATCATATCGCCAGATGCTTGATCTTGCAATTGGGACCCATCATCTAAAGATGGGATCTCCTTGGTGTTTGGTTGATTGAATCTTTCTTTTGTAGAATTCATGATTGTGGTTTGAATATTGGAGGTGAAGCTTTTTCGTGAATGGAAGGTGGCTCGCATCGAATCACGTGTCAAGAAGACAAGCATCTTGTGATTTCTGATCATGCTTTTGTATGTAATCTAATTACACGTGGAATCACGTAAGCTCGTTCGAGCCTATTAAAGGCCCCGAACGTACTAGGAATGGAAACGTTACGTCCTTTTTAACCTTTCCAATCACAATCTCGGCTGGGCTAGCGTGTCCCAGTTTGGCCTAGTCTTGCCCCTTTTCTCGCTGGACTGGCGCCCCAACTCCTCCAGCCAATCAATCATATCCTCTCTTCCTCAACACAACTAAAATAGGCTCCTCATTAACCTCAAATACTCAACATCCAGATTGTCCGAAGTATGAAGCGTTGCAGCAAAATTTGGGGTTGAATGAAATTTAGCGAATCTTGCCGAAGAGTCCGCCGTTGAGTTGAAGCCGGCTGCAATCAAATCAGCCTTCTTCTGTCCCGCAACTTGAAGTAACACTAACCGTTGTAGATGCCTTGCCAAGGCGAGTTTTGCTACGTCTGCGGATTGGAGTGGAATACTTGCGGTTGCGATATGTGTTATGAACGCCGCCTCTTGATTCACGAGGTCGTCGATCGCGGTGGTCCGGACGATTTGGCTGCACGACTTCAAGCAGAAGCTGATGGTATCTACTCGGGATCCATTTGATTACGTGGAGACTGCGAGGGTTACGGCGACTACATGCATAGATTCATTTTCGAGTTCCAATTGCCTCCTTGCGATGCCTTGGGAGTTGACCAGCATCTCTCTGGAGACCTTTGGCACGAAACTACCCCCTGAACTTCGTCGAATGGTCTGGAAGCTCGCCCGTCCACCACCTTGGATACTCATGTCTTGAAAGCGAGACTATCCTCTACTCAATTGCGAAAGTCCCGACGCTGCTGCATACTTACCAGGAATCACGTCAAATCGAACAGTGGTATCGACACACGTTCCCGCTGGTTCCCGCATTATTTCTCGAGACCATATTATCCACAAACATGTCTCCCCTACGACGGGTCCCCTTTGCAGAGCTACACTTCGTTAATACGCTAGACTCTCCCGCTACAGGAATGGATGCAGGAAGGGATAACAGGTAGGTCATTGGGCTGAGAAGGATGTCGCGCATGACATGTGCGAACGCTAATACGAAGATCACGGCATAAAGTGACGGGATTACAGGGCATTTGGACCCTTGGCACTCCTCAGGGCACAATTTAGTAGCTTGAGCCCGCTATCCCTTCGTCCGGTGAGACATAGTCCACGCTAGCAAGGGGGGGTTCCGGGACTAAATCAAGGGGGTCCCGCACGGCTTACCTAGCATAATATTATATACCTTTACATACAAATTTATTAGTAATCTATATTATTTGAATGAAATCGGCCCCAGCACTCCCCCTCCTTGTATAGATTTACATTATAAAACACATAATTACCATATGATCTCTTCGCCTAAACCTTCTTATCTACTGCTTTCCCTAAGGCCTTTTGGTACCTTAATTTGTACGAATACTACGTATAAGTAGCCTTAGGGCCCTTCTCCTAATAATATATATGCGGGGTATTAGGATTAAATACCCTCCTTCCTCCCAAGTTCACTTGTAATCGCCGGATCTTTGCTCTTATAGAATACCCTAAAAGCTTATAATAAAGCTCGGTTCTAAATTGCAAGTATATAAGCAAACGCCTATTCCCGTCCATATGCAATTAATATAGCCTATATCTATTTATATAAGTTATTTCAATTAACTAGTAGAATAAGGGCCACTAATTTCTCAAGGTAGGTTTATAACTCTCATATACCTCCCTAAATTAATTTATAAGATCTACTTCTCCTATATATTAATTATAATTATTAATAAAGCTAGGAATCTGAAGCTTCTTTATTAGTAACTCGCCAAAAACCTCCCGTATAATTCGCCTATTTATAGACGTCTTTACAGGACGCCTTCTCTCCTTTACCCGCTAGCTCTCTGCTTTATCTATAGTGTAACGGCAGGAACAGAGTAATGGAACGAGGCTCAAAGATCAATGATTTCCTATGTCTTGAGAATCTAAAGCTAAGGAGAGAAGGAGTGAGGTGTGGCAGTGGATAAGTAGGTATGGCCAAGACTACTGAAACGCCGAGCTTTGGAAGCGAGCTTGGTTTGAACCATAGCTTGGAACCTTAGCTGAAACCAACCCCTTTGGCTGAAACCAACCATGTGACACCAGCCGTCACATATAGTATAAATATTACTTAAAGCTAAGATAATATTATTATCTTGCCAAGCTAAGCAAAATACGTCCTAAATTACTGCCGTAAGTAAGGTATTCTATTCTAGTTTTATAGTAAACCGATTTTTAATTACTAATAATTCCGGTAGAAATAGCTTATATAGGCGAGTAATATCTACTATACCAAATCTACAGGCTTATAGCTCTGAAAATAAGGATATAGAGATAAAGTAATTATTGAGATATATTATAAGGTAGTAGTACGGGAGGGAAAGTGCCAGATTTTGTATAAGAGAACCGGTATTTATAAGGGTTAGATAGAGAGTTATTTTTTGGAATCCTTTCTCTTATAAGCTCTAAATCCAATTATATATATATCTGTAATCCGCGAGTCTATAGATCTTATACCCTTGTTTAATTGGCTTTTTGGGCATCTTATATATATATAAGGATCTAAAATAATTAGTAGAATAGTGGGGTAAAAAAGGAAAAAATATATCTATTAAAGTACTATACTATAAGTTCGTTAATACTAATATTAGAAGAAGGAGAATATAAAAGCTAATAGAAAGCTCGTATAGAGAAAGCAAGAGGTTTAAGCTTATATTACTAAAACTTATTATTTGGTAAGTAATATTCATTTTGCTTATTATTTTTAAGATACGAGATATAGTAATACTGCTTAATTTACTCAAAGCAGCAGAATAATATATGGTTTGTAATTAAGTATAGAGGACTTCTATTAAAGTCTGAATTCTAATATATCTTAACTTAAGACTTATTATATACTTCTATATATATAATAGCCCCAAGAAATACATATAATTTCTCTAGAAACAAATCTGCCCATTCTCGTACCCTTTCCTTTACTATATATATTCTCTATATATTCGCATATTAATTAGTATTTATAGTAATTGTTTAAAAAAGCTCGCAAATAAAGAATAGGCTAAAGTAATCGAATAGGTATGGTTTTGGAGGGAAGGTAAGAGGTAAAATAGCTCTCGGTATTTAATTAGGTTCGGGTTAGAAAGGCTTATAAGAAACGTCTATAATTAGACCAAGTTTATAAAGTATATTTACAAGTAATTAGGTATTTTTTAGTTCCTTAGGCTCTTTTAGAAGTGGACTGGAAGAATAGTCTATTACTGGCTATATAAATATATACTAGAGAGGTACTATTAGATGCGATTTCATCTATATGATATAGATTACTAATAAATTTATATATAAAGGTATATAATATTATACTAGGTGAGCCGTACAGGACCCCCTGGTTTAGTCCCGGAACCCCCCTTTGCTAGTATGGACTATGTCTCACCGGACAAAGGGATAGGGCTCTTTAGCGAGGTGTTCCTTGTAAGTATAGGGGAGGAGCCCTAAAAAGGTGTGGTACCCCTAGCTCCCGCTTTCTAGCGTGCTTTTAGGGCAATAGCCTAGAATTATAGGGTAAATTTAGTGACCGAGTATACTAAAAACAGATACCGAAGTGCTGTAAAGCACAAATGCCCTGTAATCCCGTCACTTTATACCGTGATCTTCGTAGCAGCATTGCTACCTTCCAATTTCAGTATCTATCTGATAAAGCCGTCTTCTTTATATTGGTCTCCTTTAATTCTCCTCCATTATATGATACCACAAGACAGGGTTCTTCTCTACAGCCCCGAATACAGTTACAGTTCCCGTCCAATCCCTTCGACTTCCCATCCTTTTCGATCCACTCCTTCTGCAATTACAACTTAACAAGAGGTCCTCTCCAGTCCTGAGTCCACAAGTGGTACTAACTTTCCATCCACAAGTTCCGACGCAACATGCGCAGGCCATCTTTCTATCATCCTCATTTGGTTCTTGTACGATAATCGAAGGAATCTCTTTCGTATCCACAGTTATCACATCCTTGTCGTTAGAAGGTAATAAAAGAGAAGAAGGAGAATAATAAAGAAGATAGTAAATTAGAAAATAATATCTCTTCTAATTTAGGTAATAATAGGGAATAGTAAAGAATAAGAGATACTATAGCTAATTATATAATAGTTCAGAGAAGTGGCTAAATAGAAAAATTTATAAAAGACCTTGATTTTAGTAGGGTTATCTTCTTCACTTCTTTATATTATCGTACGTTTGGACCACCCTTAAGCGGTTGGCTTGCAGGGCTTCTTAAAAAATACTGGTCACGTGAGGAACACCAGAATCTCCCCCTTCTAGGGAATCGCGCATTGGAATGCGATTACGTCCAAATCCTTAGGGCATAGCTGGGGATTAGAGAGGAGAAGCTCAAGTACCTTTCTCTATATTTTAGTGGTTCTGGAATGCGAGGGGCTTTTATTACGATTTTTTAAAGCTCGGGAGGAGGGGGGGGGGATTCTCAAGGCTCTAGCTAGCTCTCGGGACTCCCTAAAAATCCAAGTCACGTGAGGAACACCAAAACTCTTGCATACTATATACTACTATTCTAATGCCTAGCAAGCTTAAGGGAAGTTCTACGGGTATAAGAGAAAGCTTTATAAATAAGAATAAGGGTATAAGGTTTTATATAAGAAAAGAGGAAGCTTTATAAGCTTATAAGATAGCTTATAAAAAATAATAAATAAAAGAAAGGGCTATAATAAATTATAAAAAAAAAGAAAAAGCTTTATAAATATAAAAATAAGAATTAAGAAAAAACTATAAATAAAAGTATAATTAATAAGAAACTTATAGAGGTAAGTAAAACTTAAAAGGGCTTATAAAAGAAAAAGTAAAGGCTATAATAA